ACTCTGGATTCTGATAGAGGGCCATGAGACTTAGACCTGAGTGCAAAAATGGAGGCTCTAGCCCCTTCCAGAGCTGAGATATCGAAACTCAAAAATTCGGCCCGAAAAAAAAAACGACAGTGGTACCCCTTACGTTTTTTTTTTTTTGGGCGAAAAATTAAGTTTCTCCAATCTTCCCAAAACTCTGGATTCTGATAGAGGGCCATGAGACTTAGACCTGAGTGCAAAAATGGAGGCTCTAGCCCCTTCCAGAGCTGAGATATCGAAACTCAAAAATTCGGCCCGAAAAAAAAACGACAGTGGTACCCCTTACGTTTTTTTTTTTTTGGGCGAAAAATTAAGTTTCTCCAATCTTCGGATTCTGATAGAGGGCCATGAGACTTAGACCTGAGTGCAAAAATGGAGGCTCTAGCCCCTTCCAGAGCTGAGATATCGAAACTCAAAAATTCGGCCCGAAAAAAAAAACGACAGTGGTACCCCTTACGTTTTTTTTTTTGGGCGAAAAATTAAGTTTCTCCAATCTTCCAAAACTCTGGATTCTGATAGAGGGCCATGAGACTTAGACCTGAGTGCAAAAATGGAGGCTCTAGACCCTTCCAGAGCTGAGATATCGAAACTCAAAAATTCGGCCCGAAAAAAAAACGACAGTGGTACCCCTTACGTTTTTTTTTTTTTGGGCGAAAAATTAAGTTTCTCCAATCTTCCCAAAACTCTGGATTCTGATAGAGGGCCATGAGACTTAGACCTGAGTGCAAAAATGGAGGCTCTAGCCCCTTCCAGAGCTGAGATATCGAAACTCAAAAATTCGGCCCGAAAAAAAAACGACAGTGGTACCCCTTACGTTTTTTTTTTTTTCGGGCGAAAAATTAAGTTTCTCCAATCTTCCCAAAACTCTGGATTCTGATAGAGGGCCATGAGACTTAGACCTGAGTGCAAAAATGGAGGCTCTAGCCCCTTCCAGAGCTGAGATATCGAAACTCAAAAATTCGGCCCGAAAAAAAAACGACAGTGGTACCCCTTACGTTTTTTTTTTTTGGGGCGAAAAATTAAGTTTATCCAATCTTCCCAAAACTCTGGATTCTGATAGAGGGCCATTAGACTTAAACCTGAGTAAAAAAATGGAGGCTCTAGACCCTTCCAGAGCTGAGATGTCGAAACTCAAAAAAATCGACCCGAAAAAAAAAACGACAGTGGTACCCCTTACGTTTTTTTTTTTTTTTTCGGGCGAAAAATTAAGTTTCTCCAATCTTCGGATTCTGATAGAGGGCCATGAGACTTAGACCTGAGTGCAAAAATGGAGGCTCTAGCCCCTTCCAGAGCTGAGATATCGAAACTCAAAAATTCGGCCCGAAAAAAAAACGACAGTGGTACCCCTTACGTTTTTTTTTTTTGGGGCGAAAAATTAAGTTTCTCCAATCTTCCCAAAACTTTGGATTCTGATAGAGGGCCATGAGACTTAGACCTGAGTGCAAAAATGGAGGCTCTAGACCCTTCCAGAGCTGAGATATCGAAACTCAAAAATTCGGCCCGAAAAAAAAACGACAGTGGTACCCCTTACGTTTTTTTTTTTTTGGGCGAAAAATTAAGTTTCTCCAATCTTCCCAAAACTCTGGATTCTGATAGAGGGCCATGAGACTTAGACCTGAGTGCAAAAATGGAGGCTCTAGCCCCTTCCAGAGCTGAGATATCGAAATTCAAAAATTCGGCCCGAAAAAAAAACGACAGTGGTACCCCTTACGTTTTTTTTTTTTCGGGCGAAAAATTAAGTTTCTCCAATCTTCGGATTCTGATAGAGGGCCATGAGACTTAGACCTGAGTGCAAAAATGGAGGCTCTAGCCCCTTCCAGAGCTGAGATATCGAAACTCAAAAATTCGGCCCGAAAAAAAAACGACAGTGGTACCCCTTACGTTTTTTTTTTTTGGGCGAAAAATTAAGTTTCTCCAATCTTCTCAAAACTCTGGATTCTGATAGAGGGCCATGAGACTTAGACCTGAGTGCAAAAATGGAGGCTCTAGCCCCTTCCAGAGCTGAGATATCGAAACTCAAAAATCGGCCCGAAAAAAAAAACGACAGTGGTACCCCTTACGTTTTTTTTTTTCGGGCGAAAAATTAAGTTTCTCCAATCTTCCCAAAACTCTGGATTCTGATAGAGGGCCATGAGACTTAGACCTGAGTGCAAAAATGGAGGCTCTAGCCCCTTCCAGAGCTGAGATATCGAAACTCAAAAATTCGGCCCGAAAAAAAAACGACAGTGGTACCCCTTACGTTTTTTTTTTTTGGGCGAAAAATTAAGTTTCTCCAATCTTCCCAAAACTCTGGATTCTGATAGAGGGCCATGAGACTTAGACCTGAGTGCAAAATGGAGGCTCTAGCCCCTTCCAGAGCTGAGATATCGAAACTCAAAAATTCGGCCCGAAAAAAAAACGACAGTGGTACCCCTTACGTTTTTTTTTTTTGGGCGAAAAATTAAGTTTCTCCAATCTTCCCAAAACTCTGGATTCTGATAGAGGGCCATGAGACTTAGACCTGAGTGCAAAAATGGAGGCTCTAGCCCCTTCCAGAGCTGAGATATCGAAACTCAAAAATTCGGCCCGAAAAAAAAACGACAGTGGTACCCCTTACGTTTTTTTTTTTTGGGCGAAAAATTAAGTTTCTCCAATCTTCCCAAAACTCTGGATTCTGATAGAGGGCCATGAGACTTAGACCTGAGTGCAAAAATGGAGGCTCTAGCCCCTTCCAGAGCTGAGATATCGAAACTCAAAAATTCGGCCCGAAAAAAAAAACGACAGTGGTACCCCTTACGTTTTTTTTTTTGGGCGAAAAATTAAGTTTCTCCAATCTTCCCAAAACTCTGGATTCTGATAGAGGGCCATGAGACTTAGACCTGAGTGCAAAAATGTAGGCTCTAGCCCCTTCCAGAGCTGAGATATCGAAACTCAAAAATTCGGCCCGAAAAAAAAACGACAGTGGTACCCCTTACGGTTTTTTTTCGGGCGAAAAATTAAGTTTCTCCAATCTTCTCAAAACTCTGGATTCTGATAGAGGGCCATGAGACTTAGACCTGAGTGCAAAAATGGAGGCTCTAGCCCCTTCCAGAGCTGAGATATCGAAACTCAAAAATTCGACCCAAAAAAAAAACGACAGTGGTACCCCTTTCGTTTTTTTCGGGCGAAAAATTAAGTTTCTCCAATCTTTTTTTCTGAGTGCAAAATTGGAGTCTCTAGACCCTTCCAGAGCTGAGATATTGAGATCCCACATAGCATTTATGCCATTATAAAAATAGTGGGTTTGTGGACACGTGGTTTTTAAGCTCAGCTTTCAAAATTTTGGGATGAAAACTATTTTACTGCACTCAGGGAGGCCCCCTGAGTCTGTGGCACCAAGGGCCGTCCCGAAATTCCACCGTCCGCGAACCCACTATTTTTATAATGGGATAAATGCTATGTGGGATCTCAATATCTCAGCTCAGGAAGGGTCTAGAGACTCCATTTTTGCACTCAGGTCTCAGTCTCATGGCCCTCTATCAGAATCCAGAGTTTCAAGAAGATCAGAGAAACTCAAAATTTCGACCCAAAAAACTGTCGTTTTTTTTTTCAGGGGGCGAAATTTTGAATGTTATTTTACTTAAATGTCTGTTTTATTGTAACCATATATTTAAAATGATTTATGAAATCTAAATATTATTTAGACTTACAATTTTTTTTCTTTTAATATACATATATTTTGTTTTTGTAGGTCTTGGAGGATGAGAATGCAAACATCGATGAAATGGATTTCAAGCCTGATACATTAATCAAACTTTTCTTGGGCTATAAGAAGTAAATGCCCTTCTGCATTTTCTTAGTTTCATGTTTGATCCGTATAGTATAAAACGAATTGACTTTCAGTAACTTTTGAAAACTGTATTCGTACATGTATACAAAAATGTAAATGTTGCACATTTGTTGATCTACACTGTCACTGTGCGCAGTAAAAAGTTACGGGTGAATATCAATGTGCCAATGAAGACAGAGCAGAAACAAGAGCAGGAGACAACACATAAGAACATTGAGGAAGACAGGAAGCTCCTCATACAGGTATTCAACACACCCTAGAAGTTCAAATCAAACTTTCTTTTCATTCTACATGTTGTTTTGTGTTCTTGTGTGCAGGCTGCTATCGTGAGAATCATGAAGATGAGAAAACTTTTAAAGCACCAGCAACTTTTGGCAGAAGTGCTGAACCAACTTTCCTCAAGATTCAAACCTCGTGTTCCTGTCATCAAGGTAATGGACTGTAGCACTCTGCAATCCTGACTGCTTATTAAATATTCATTATAAAAATTAAAATGTGTCTTTTTTTTTTCAGAAATGCATTGACATTTTGATAGAGAAGGAATACCTGGAACGTGTGGATGGGGAAAAAGACACTTACAGTTACTTGGCATAAAAATGTCCTCTGAAGTTTGTTGTCCTTTAGATATTTGTCTGATGTTTTAAGGAATATCAGGGGGCACAGAGAATTCTCTTTCCAAGATCTCATGACCTTGTTGGACAATTTGACACTGGAGTTTTCCCTTTAAAACCAGACTGCTAAAGCGGCCAGTCTTTGTCTTTAAGCCCTTAAGCTGCTCAGGATTGCCATTTACTTTTTAATGTGTAAATACTGGACATTGAACTATACTCATAGTGGGACCCAGGGTCAGGGTTGCATGCTATTGCCTATCATTGTGAAAGGACAAAACGCTGATTAATTTAATTGTAATTCCAATGACTTTTGGAAAACTGACAGATTCGTTTCAGACAGAAATACCTATAACTAAGAAGAATACTGTTCAGCAGCACTGACTATAATCATGTCTGGCTGGCTGGTTAGTTGCATTACCAGCCATGAGAGCACCATTTGTATAGTGCAATTCATTTTATAAATGTCATGAATAAACTTAATTTTTCTTTATGCTTTCTCATTGCTAGGTCTTGTTCATCTTTTGTGCTTGAGTTAGTGCTTGAATAGTACAGCAAACAATTGTTTTCAATGTTTATTTCATCACGTTTAACAAGTCCCTGTAAACAATTAAACAGCACCTTGTAATTGGAGGCAAAAGCATAGAGATGGAGTGGTCAAAACCCCTCAGGGAAGAAGAGTATAACAAGAGTGGCTCGACAAAGGAGAACTATTAATTGAATCGAGCTAAACAAATCTAGCTCCTAAGAAATAACTCCAATAATCACAGCAATAAAACAATAGCCATCAATAAATTATAAAACTTGTTTACACAAAATAAATAGGGACATTAAACTTCTGGAGTCAAGCCTGGTATTATTGCTTTGATTTTACAGTATCCCACGTTCAGAAAAAAAAGTGATTGTTTTTTCACGAAACCCGGGACAAAAACAGCACCTTAATTTAATCTCCTTACATTTAGTGATGTCTAAAGTACATAGCTGCAACCGTGTCTGGATAAACCTTATAAAACACATACAGTGAGGAATGAAGCATTACCTGATTCCAACTCCATTTGAAACCTTTGTTCATGCATACAACAATTTGAGTACACCATTCAACAACATTAAGAAATCTAATTCCAGAAACTATTCAGTGTTCTTTAAACACATGAAGGCACCGCAAAAATATGATACTGAGTCTACCCTTTCCTTACACCGCATGTTTCATCTTCACAGAAACAGCGCATTGGCACCATGTAATAAACCTCTGCAGCATGATTCTGGAGATATCTACATGCAAAACAGTGACAGTGGCTTTGGTTTCCATAAAGACCAAACCTCAAAACTGAGCAGGGGATTGTGTGGTATAAATAGGTTTTGGATTATAAACATACAACCGGTTTGAATGTAAAATTTGGCCCAAAGATATTGTCAAAATAACTTAGGAAAAAAAAGAAGGAAAAAACTACAATCTAGATACAAAACTATACATAATAAAACGGCTCTCTAATAAAACCAGCTGTAAACAAGACAGAATGTTCAAGTCGCTATCAGAAAGTGTGTCCCAGAGTAAGCCTGTTGGTCAAGTGAAAGAAAGAAAAGTCAAAGGAAACTGTTAAACCCTTTTCAATTAGATGCCCTTGTCCTATAAAACTGTATTGGAAATGCATGTGGAGAGAGAATTCCTGAAGAGTTAAGGCATTTGTTCAAGGAGGTAGATGGCTTTATGGAATTTCCGATTCACGTTCTATACCCACATATTTCAGAGCGTCAGCTTGACTGTATCTGAAAGGGATGCGAAAACATTTGGGTAAATTTTATAAATTGCGCCTGAACAAAGAATTCAATCCTGAACAATCCTGTGATTGTTTTGTTTTGTTTTTTACCTGTAGTCAAAGAACAGTTCCTCTCCAGTCTGTATGGCTCTCTTAGCAAATATGCCAATCCTGTGATCCCCATTAACCATCATCACTGTGGGGACAGAGAGGAACACACCCCGTCACATTTTACACTCTATATCTTCCTAGCATAATATCAAGTGATTTACCTTTTGCATAGCAATTGGGGTTCACAGAGTGGTTGGCAAACCTGATCTTGTTTCCTTTCCTAGTTGCATCAACAACAAAGTCTGTGGGTGAAAAGTTGGCAGGTTGTCAGCCAGTGAGAGGCATGTGAACAGCCAATGTTTGCGAGGAGGTTAGTTACCATTGTTAAGGTTAAACAGGAAGCTGCACATGTATTTGTCATAGACCTTGCCTCTACGGTCTGCTTCATCCTGGGAGATGATCTAGCAGGTAAAAATAGAAGGAAACAGTAATATTAACAAATAAATAAAAAAAGAAATAGACATATACATGTATATATAAACATCTCACCTCCCCACAGTACTCTGAGATGAACTCGTTCTTCTGAACCGGCTCTTTGATGAAGATTCCCCATCCGGCCACATCAGACGGAGCCAGTAGCAAGTGCTAATAAAGCCAGCATAAATAAAGAAAAGTGAGTTTATCAACTAAACAGTCTAGCAACAGATTATTACAGTTTTTTTTTTAATTGCTAAACGACTGAGCACAACTGGAGCTACATGTGTAAAACTCTAACTACATTCTGCACAGCAGGAGTTCATGTGGATCAAACTTTAGTTTGTAGTCATTGTAATTAAAACTCTATGCACTTATCCCATGACTTTAACCACAATCTGCACAGCACTGTGGATTTACAGCACTTTGTTCAAATGCAAACACACTACCACACATTCAAAACAGAATAGATTTCAGCCTTGTGCCTTTCGCACACTGCTGATTGCTGGAAGGCTGGAAACCTGTGGCCTGATGAGAGAGAGGAAGGAACAGCCATTCAATTATTTGTTAAAATTACAGTATGTACTTTTTTTTCTCATTACTGTAATTGCGTAAATGACTACAGACTATTGAAGCAAACTGCTAATTTTCATTTACCTTAAATCTAAAAATGTTGTAAAAATGTAAATAAATCATGTGAAAGAATGTTACTCTTTTCTTTGAAGAAAATATTACTTTGTATGAAATTGTTGAAACTGTAAAGATGAAAAGTTTGTATTTCCTGTATTGGTGTTTGATGCTACTGTTTTTACTCTGTGTTGTGAGTGACAGTGTGTTATCTCAGTGAGGGTTGTGCATAGTGTTTGGCTGCATTGTTTTGAGGCATGTGTTAAAAGTTGTGTTGCTTGGAATGAGTTTTGCAGGTGATGTGAACTGTTTAGCTCAGGAGACTGTTAGTAGTGCAGACTGTAGTTAGAGTTTTACACATGTAGCTCCAGTTGTGCTCACTGTCATTTAGCAATTGAAAAAAAAAAACTGACTTTGTTTAAATTTGAGGATAATGACAATCATCTTCATGCTGATGTGTCAGAATAAAACAAACTTTTTTTGCTCCTCTCTGGATGCTGCAGTTCTTGCAGGAGACGTTTTTACTGTCCCAGTGTTCAGCTGCCCCACAGGTGAGGCACAGGTCTGGGTCACACTCTCTTACGGCCAGGTAACACGGGCACTGCTTGGTGTTACACTGGGCCTTACAACGGCAACCTGGAAACCGGTTCTGACCTACAGAGACAAAAAAAAAAAAAAAATCCTGACTCCAGATATGACAGTTTCAAACGTAACATAGCTGTTATAAAAGGAAACACAGAAATATATTTTAAAAAATAAAGTACGTATATATATGCACACACATTTATATTTATTATATGAACACATAATACCCTTAGCTTTTATATAAAAGCTATATATTTACATTCAGTGCCAATCATTCAAACTCAAGAGCTCTGCTGAAAAACAACTGATTTAAAGTCGGTAAAAATGAAAATGATTTCAACTTAGAATAAGAAACCTTTACTACACTGTATTTTCTCTTTCCAAGCCCAAACCACAGATTATTTTTCAGTGTTTCTGTGTAAACCCGGTGTCACAATGTGCATCCTTGAGCTGGATAACTGGTGTCGGTCTGTATTTGTTAGGAATGCTCCAATCAGGATTTTTGCAGCTGTTACTGCTAGCTTTTTTGTTTTCCCAGATATAGTATTATTGTTGTAATTGTTCTTTTAATTAAGAAATCAAATAAACAAGAATAACAAATATTAATTTTTACAATGAACATTTTAATAGGCCAATAAAAACCACTTCCGCAAGATACTATCCATATTAGGATACTTTTATTTAAAAAGCCTACAGGACTTTAAAACTGAACATAATTGCAGGCTGTCAATCAATGCAGTTACATTGTTAAGTCAGCAGGAGATGGCAAGGGACAGTCTTTATGAGCGAGTCATGGTTTTTTTTCACCCAAAAATGTCAATTCTGTCAGCAATTACACGCCCTCGTGTTGTTCCAACCCCGTAAGACTTTCGTTCATCTCTGGAAAACAAATCAAGATATTTTTGATTAAATCTGAGAGCTGGATCACTTCTCCATAGGCTTCTTGAGGGATTGAAACTGGCCGGCCAAAAAGTTATGATAGATATCGTTAAAATTGTCCGAGTGACTACAGTGGCTCAAGCTTAAGTTTATCAAGCGACAAGAATACTTTTTGTGCCCAAAAAAAACTAACAAAAATAAAGACTTTATTCTATTATTCATTCCCTTCTCTGTTGGCCTCAAGATTTCATGTAATGAAACTACGCAAAGCTTCTAGGTTGCACGTCACACACATGCTCACTTTTGGCCGACAGCTGGTCGTGTGTGATGTAGGGCCCTATGAAATCCGTTTTATTTTTTGGGAATTCGTTTTTTTTACCCTTGACTGTTATTTTAGTTGTAAAAATAGTATGCTTTTAAAGTTAATGATTAAAATGTATTAAAAAATACAAATAAATTAGGAATGACCTTAAATTTATTGAGGTAATAATACAGACATTTACTCAGGAGCCTTTTCAGGACAAATACTGCATGATGCAACATAACACTGTACTCTTCAAGTAACAACAAAATATGGTTATGAGCTTTAAACTGTAATATAAATTATATTAGTTTATATAAGTTTAAATAAAGTCACACTCTGTCTCTCACAGAGTTCGCTTTGCTTTTGTCCAGTCCGGCGCCTCATAGACAGACACGGTGTGCACGTTGTGTGTGTGAGAGAGACGCATTAATGAGAGCGGGAAAATACAACTGAAAGAATACGCTGCGTGTTTTAAATAGTGTTAAAAACCGAAACACAGTATGTGGCGGCGATTTAGTCAATCTGTGGGAAACACTGCATAAGTCACGTGCGAACTGCTCGGCACTGACGGCTCATATTGTAGAGTTTCTTACCTTTTAGCCGATGAAAGCAGAGCCACTTCGCCATGCTTTCATTGATTTGATTTCTTCATTGGAGCTGAAATGAAGGGTTGAGGGGTTTGTGTCACCCAGATTTGCTTCCCCTGGTCTGAATTTTCACCAGACATGCATTCATCTCCCACACAAAAACAGAATATCAAACCAAATATGTAAAAACCCACGAAATTCCGCGTTAACACTAGATTCCGCATTAATTGGCCAATTCCGCGATTCCGTCCGTGATTACGTTGGGAAATCATAGGGCCCTAGTGATGCGCGTGATGTACAACCTAGAAGCTTTGCGTAGTTTCACATGAGGGTGAGTAATTACGGACAGAATTTTCCTTTTTGGGGGAACTAACCCTTTAAACCGTGCCTTCAGCTACTACGCTTACAAATTCATGAATGAAACAAGTTGTCGAAATTAACTTTGAGCACTACATTAGAAGGCTCAACCGACGAGCGTCGCATCACCTAGATAACACTGAAGCTGATGTTTCACTTCATACAGATCAATGGTAATGGCATTCAATGCATTGAACAGCGCTGACTTCAATCATGGAAAACCCCCTTAAACGTAAAATACTTGATACTACGACAAAGATATCGCTTTCTTGTTCTGACAACTGATGGCAAACTGTTTTGTTTTGGGTTTTTTTTTGGGGGGGGTTCACAAATATGGCTTGATCTGAAGGAGGAAAGACGAGGTTAACCACACGCTCAGTTTCCCTGTTCCCCTGGTTTGTGAGATCGGCCAAATTTAGTGACCACCAATTAATTCATAAAATGTTGGCCAATCCTGATCGGAGCAGCCCTAGTGTATGTATACTCACATTCCGAGCTACACTGGCAGAACTTCTCACAGAAGTTTTGGGCGGTGACACAAGGGCAAGAACTGTCACACGGCTGGCGCGGATGATCACATGGCTGGTAGTTGTACACATGATTGGACGAGCCATCTGAGAGCATAAATTTCACATAAAAATGCATACTTGCATTCTTACTAAATTTTCACAATAGTGAGCGCAATCTTGCCTTCTAAATGTATGAGCTGGCCTTTCACAGTAAAGAAACAAACCTTTCTTTAGTTGAATTTTCCGACAATGAGTGGCCCACAACCTAGAAGAACCCAAGAAAGCAACAGGGTTTTTACATGATTGAAATGCACCAATGATATTGGAGATACTGAAAGTGAAACACAAAATGAAGGGTAGTCAGACTCTTACAAGTATCACTTTAAAGACATACCTGTGTTTCCTCTTCTTCTTCCTTTGAGGAGTGTTTTCATCTACCGCAGGTGCACGTGCAATGATGCTAGATTCTTTAACCCTGAATTCATAAACCTATCAAGTCCCAAAACAGGAACAACTCTCAAAACAAGAATTCAAAGCACTGTTCTTTTAATTATAGTTTGTGGTAATGTGTAATTTCCAGCTCCTCAAAATAATTCCACAGCAAATGTGTAGTTGATTAGCATTAAACAATATTATTAACACTGCAATATAAAATATAACATCAAAACCCATCTTCTCAGGTGCACATACCTGTCTACAAGTCTTTGTGCTAATGAGTCTGGCGATAGCGCAGAAGTTGTCATAGTAAGTGCCGATGAGCACTCTGAAGAGAGAGGCCTCAGCGCCACTCCAATCCACATTCTCGGGAGGCTCTGAGCTCAACTTCAACTTCACTGGAGTCTGACAGCGAGAGTTTGCCTCTGTATAACAATAAAACAAAATAAATGATTAAGTGGAAATAAAATATAATCTGAACAGAATAACAGAAAAAAATTAATCAAATACAATTTCATGGCTCCAAAAAACAAATATAAAATCATTTGTGGGCATTACTGATTATGTGACATTATTAGTATGATGGTTGACAACACCCAATCAAATACACCATCGATGTGATTACATATCACAGACTCTTGATCACTACCTGAGGAGCTTGTGGTCTCATCCTTTTTGTCATCATCGTCTTTATCATTACAATCGTTTCCATCTGCCCCTCCTTCTCGGTCGCTGTCTGTGTCTTTAGTCTCAGTGTTAACTGTCGGGGTGCTGGGTCTGCTGTTCGGGAGTCTTCCTCTCCGTCTGCCTACAGTACGCTTAGAAGGGGTCTTAGCACGCTCAGCAACCACCCCTGCTGGGTACTCTGCAACCATGCCATCCTGAGGAGAGAGGTATGCCATTGCGAGTGTTAATCAGAGTTAACAGTCAGATATATGCAACACTGTTTGTTAAATAAGTCAAGGTATTTCTTCCAAAAAGTAATTTTGTCTTACCCTGATTCACTATAGTAAGCGTTTATATTTTAGCCCTGTCGAAATCGTTTTCACAAAAAACTGCGTAAATGCGCCACTCACCCTGGCATGTCTTGGCAGCGCAGAGATGACGTTTTTATTAGTCAACAGGTGAGTAAAGTATTTTATTGAACAGATAAATTACCATATGTAGCCCTCCAACAGAGTTTATTGTGAAGCATTTTCTTAAGCAGTCATGCAGAGCCAAAGCACAACCAAAATAATGTTCGGTCCCACTTTATATTAAGTGGCTTTATGTGCAGTACTATGTACTTATTTTTCGATGCAAGTACAATGCACATTAGTGTTCATGTTCTATTGTAAAACACTTTTGGTGCTATTGAGGTGTGATATGGATGAGGCATATTTATTCAAAAGTTGTAAGCATTTTTGTAAATGCTAAAAACTTCTCCAAAAAGAAATGCACTTGCCTGAACCATATACATATAGCAATAAATGCCACAAGGTTTGCTGTCCACCAGATTCTCCATGTTCTTACGCTTGTAAGTGTTTGGAGTTGCATGAAAAGCTGTAAATCAGAAGAGGAATGTATCATTAAAAAAATGCCATCTTTGCACAGAAAAAGGGCTAATCTGATTGTATAGGTCCAAGGACAGCATTTGCTTCATTGCTTACGGTGAAGGAAACAGTCGTATTTGAAGCAACGCCTGCAGAAGAGTGTATGGAAGGAGTGCAGACTCTGCTCTCTTTGCACTGATTTTGCATTTGGTCCGTCGATGTTGGGGGTACATTCAGGAGGAAGCGCCCCTGGGAGTTGCTGCTCCGTGAGTTCTTTATATCTGCAAAAAATATACAGTATCTCAAATTAAAATGATCACAAACCATCATCCTTAAAAATAATAATAATAATGTGAGATGGATTTTATCTAAATATTAATTTTATTTATTAAAAATAACTTTTTGAAAGCAAGCTTCCTTGCAGGAGTTGTTTCCTGACATACTTTTCTTTGAGTTCTTCAGTTGAACCTTTATCAGGAAACATGGAAGAAATGGCTTCAAAGATTTTATCAGCGGGAAACTTTTTTGATCCATCATTGTTGTGACCTGTTGCATAAAATATGAAAGCAGAAAGTTAAAGAATGAATTGTATAGTAAAACGTTACACTATAGATAGATATTATAACATGTAGTGTCATGTAATAAAATGTATTGAACAGGAAAACTATCTGCTGTACCAAAAAAAAATATATATATATATATATATAAAAATGCTACAATGCATTTAACAATGTTTATGTGCACTTCAATAAATCTTTGAGAGCATGTTTTAAAATTAAATAATTAAAATTTGTGGAGCATAAAACATTTTTTAACTTCTTAGAATCAGTATCAAAACTTAGACTTTTTACATAATTTACACTAAAAATCATTAAAATTTTCTTACTCTCAGAAATCAATAGGTCCTGGTGAGAGTCTTCAGTGTCATCTTTTCCATCACAAAGGTCCATCTTCTCAAACTTGCAATCATGCTGATCCTCCTCTTCATCATCTTCCTCATTATCACTGTACTGATTAAGTGCATTCACTAGCTCCACAAATATCTCATCATTTATGAAGCCACACTCTACACACAAAGCAAAACAAAGGACAAAAAAAAAATCAATACCCTTTTTCAAGCGAACTTGTGGTCTATTATAGTGGTCTATTACGCAGAGTTTTCAAAAAAAAAAAAAAACCTTCAGAGTTTTGTAGTTTTCAACTGCGTAAATAATAGCTTTGCTATTAATATATTATTAAAGAGATAGTTCCCCCAAAAAAAGAGATCCCTAACCTCTATCTCCATGAACTTTTCCATCATAATTTTTAATAAGTTCTTCAATGAATGTGCCATCTTGATCAAGGATTTCATCACCCATGTAAGGGATGTTGTGCAATACCGTCTCATCTTCAACCTTAAACAGAATACAAGATTAAAAGCCTGTATTTTATTGCTTTAAATTTCTGCAAATACACAAGGAATTTGGTTTTACCATAAAGTTTTGTTGGAGTGGAGACCATGAGTACATGATGGGCACAGAGGCCACAGCGTTCAGCGTTTTGAGAGGAATGACTTGTCTGGAGAACTCTGAGAAACCACTGTCAACAGTGCACTGAAAAATGATTCAGTAGTGTTAGATCTCAATGACAGTCACTATTTATAACACACCTTTATGTTTTTGAAAGGTAACATTAAAAAGTCATTTACCAAGACATTTGCAGAATTAACAATTTACAATAAACACCATTTAATTTGAAAAAAACAAAACCCCATGGCAAAAAGCAGAGACAAATGAGACAGAAAGAAAAAATAAATGACATTGAGGAAAATGTCAAAAGCATGAATGGCATTTAAACACACACTTCAAGAAAATCTGAATTAGAGAATTCGTACTAACCTCTCTGGTCCCACGCAAGGAGCTCACAGGTGTCATTATATGAACAGGTTGTATCCGCCTCAGTTTCCATTCCTGGTTCAATATGTCTGTACGCTCCAATATCTTCTGTCTGTTGGAGCTGAACATGCTCTGTACAATAAGAAAATAAATGTCAATGTGAGAACCTCTAGTAGGAAGGCAATGTTTTCAACATTGTGGTTATTTTATACATAATAACAGTGCATTTGCACTGTCCACATCACGTGACACCTAAAAGCCTGACCAACACCAGACTATACAAGCAGCTTAATCTCTGCTGCATAAGCCCATGCATCACCTTGACCTCGTCTGCCCTCCTGAAACGTTTGAGCTGTCGCAGACGCATGTACTCAGACTTCACTCGCCGCCTCCAGCAAACAGGACCCTTCTCCGATTTCCTCCCAGTTAATCCCATGGCTTCCCTATAGACATACATATGGTTTTAGATTTCATTGTAGGCACACTATAGAAACATACAACATGGAGGTTAGGTGGTTTAACAGAAAATTATAGCTATTAAATGTATACCAATGAATTATACACACACATACTGCAATTCTCTTGCTAAATGAGACTGAAATAACTGGAAAGTTATTACATATGATTATGATATTTAATTAATATCAATGGTTTCTCTTAGCCTGTGCTCAGATTTGCCGGGATAAAAGACTGCAATCAAGCCATTTCAAAATGAACTCAAAGATTTCTCATAAAATCTTTCCAAGAAATTATCTAAATAATAGATCTTAGTCAGGGTAGCGGCATATTTATTTTTGGGGGGGATATAAGAACAGTGTGTTCAATGTTGTTTACAAAAGATACTGAATACTAACTGGCAGCCAATAAAAACAAGACTAAGGTCTATGCTGAACAAAAATATTGAGAGTTATGTACTCTTACTATAGCAATGGAATTATTAGTGTCACCTAATTTAGGCTATTTCTCGTAAAGTATTTTGGGTTAACTGAAACATAAAGCTCCTTAAAGCCTCCTGAGCAATCAAAGAACACATTTTTCCTCTAAGATCCACAGAGTAAAACCAACTCTATTTACTGTAGAGATTATCTAACATGCTGCAGATAGGTAGGCAGGCTGAAAATGTAACCGAGCAGCTGAGCCACAGCTGCGCCATGTAGTGGCGTGCAAGACAGTGACAGTTTTACAAGTTTTCCCAATCTTATGTAGCAAGATGAGAAATGTGAGGGAACACCCCTTTTAATCCATGAATAAACTTCACATGAAACGTTCTGCAACAGCATTAGGGTACACCATTATTCCCAAAACCGGGATTTGTTTTATCCGGGGTGTTGGTGTGACAGGTGTATGAGCGCAATAGCGCCCCTGCTGGTGTAATAAACCTACTGAAGTGACGTCTACTTTGAAACTGAAACAAACCTTATAGCACGCTTCAAAGCAATGTTTAATCAAAAAACTTAACGAAATCAGTAGGTCTTGTTATAACAATTACGAAATGACACCGATGAATCAATAGAATGCTTACAATGCTAAAGCGATGCTAAAGGAATAACTTAGTTCAACCATAAATCTGTCCTCACTTACTCACCCTCATTGTCGTCTAAACCTGCTAGCCTATGACTTTTTTTCTTCTCAGTTAACGTTACACACATGTTAAGCAGAATGATAATCTTAGTCACCATTCACTCCCATTGCATCTTTTCCCCCATACAATGAAAGTAAGTGGTGACTAATGTTACATCCCACTTCTGTTTCCTTCTACGGAAGAAAGCAAGTCACACAAGGCTTGTTACAAAGTGAGTGTTAGTAAATGACGGATTTTTTCATTTTTGACTGAATTATCCCATAAATTTCATTATGACATGACAGTAGAGTATAACACAGTTTGACTACTAACTGTCTGTAATCAAAACTAACACAACTGTTGGCAAGTGTTTCAATTAAAAGTGCTTTAAAGTCGCTAACTGGTTAACGTTAGCTGGGCTGCCTCAACCAGAAACTAAATCATGTGATTCCACAAACACAGAGACAAGCGTCTGTCTCTTAACTGTTTTCTTCAAGAACCTAAGTTAGTTACCTGAAGGAGGAGACCAGTCCACATCCAAACAAACGACTTTTTCCGTCAGTCTGTCGGCGCCGTCCCTGAGTGAAGATGAGCGGTTAACTGAGCTAGCTAACTCAGCTAGCTCGCGGTAGAGGGTCCTTTCACCTCCGCGCGTCCGCGTTACCAATACCGGCGAGCCTCGATAAACAAAAGACAGGCGTTTAATTCGCCTTTAGCTTCTCTCGCATCTATTTCGCCAGACGTTTTTCCTTCTCTTTAGTGTGACAGGCTGTAAGCGAATTTGTAATGTATGTATTTCTTTTATATTTCCGTTTCTGTAAGTATTCAAACCCGCTCAGTATGTCGTTTACACTCAGAATTCGCTGCCCACCTCGCGCACTGCAGAATCAATGAGCGCCAAACAGATGAGCCAATCAGAACAAGCCATGTTCGAGCTGCTCACTGTTACCAGTTTTGATTGGTTAGATCCTATCAGGGACTGGGCGAATCGGATGCGTGACTGCAGTGGGGGAAATGCTAAGAAGTTCTCTTTGTTCTTCAGTTTGAATTTCAAAATCTATTTCAACGAAATACAGTTTTGTAAAACTACTAAACCGGTGCGCAATGTGGCATTGTCAGTCTTCGGGTTTTTTTTTGTAATTGCCGCGAATAACGTCAGCAAAGAACAGCATATGTTAATGTGTTTGCTAGTATAATGCAAAGATTTCCGCTTTTTGTTACTTTCTTCTGGTACAGACAGAAGAACAAGCACGATGTAGTTGTGGCACATACTGGAAGAAAACAGTTCCATGTGGCCAGTAAGTCGATATAGTCAACATGTCATTCTATTTTCGACTTCCTGTGAGACTGTTTGGACTTGGCTGGGTCAACCGGTTCAATAATAAGTACCACCCACTCCAAACGGGGGAAATGCCATCATCACACTAGTGATGGGCAGTCCGAATCACCTCCCCGTGCCGGTTCTTTTGGACATTTCGAAAAACGATGCAGACTATACATCATCACATGGTCCCTGACTCCACACCATGCCACAATATGTTATTTTAAAAAGTCCAAAGACATATTGTAGTTGAACACGTTCTACGTGGACAGATGAAACAAAAACAAAAAAAGGCTTTTTGGCAGCAAACACTTAATGGTTTGGTTCATACCAAAAAAAGCACCCAGTGTGTAAAATGAAATACTCTGCTGTATGTTTAATGCTGCAGACCTATTTTTTCTGCCAGAGATCCTGGACATCTTGTTCAAATATGGTATCATGGAAAATCAAAACATGACAGACTTTGCTTGAAATCTTATAATGGACCATGTTTGGATCTTCCAACAGGACAATGATCCAAAACCAAAAATCAAAACAAAAATGGGTCACATGAGCACAAATCCAAGCATCTGCAATGGCCATCCTAGTCCCTGACCTGAACCCTATAGAAAATGTGTGAGCTGAATTGGATAGAAGCCCAACATGGATCTGGAAATCTGAAGGATCTGGAGAGATTGTATGGAGGAATGGTTTCTGATCTCTTGTCCGGTTTTCTCCAAACTCATCAGGCATTATAGGAAAAGGGTCAGAGCTGTTATCTTGGAAAAAGGAGGTTGCAAAAAGTATTTTATAAAAGGGGGCAAATAATTTTTCAAGTGAGATCGCAAATAATCGTTTCAAGTGAGAATGCCATTTTGCCAACGGTTTATGAGCACTACTCATTTATAGCACATTATCACCATTTAAGCTTTTAAAATTATACTACAATCTCCAGGCTTAGAGTCCCAGACACCAATGTTTCAATGATTCATCAAACATGAAATTCATACTGGGCGACATGGAGACAAAGGTTAGATTTGTAAATTTTCAGTACTACAGCAAACCATGAGTGTACTGTTCTCAAGCATCTGAGGGAACGTTTGGACTTGCACATTGACATGTGACATCTCAAGATTTAACAACCAGATGAGCTTAAGAAGGCTGTTCATCAAGAATGAGTATACAACCACAGCATATTTATGACAACCACTCCATTTACATTTTTACATTATTTTATTTAAAAGACTTGGGAGAAATAAACAGTGCTTAGTTTGGAATGAAAATACTGAATGTTTTGATGCCAGAAACAAAAGAAAGTACAAAAACAAATCAAAACATTCTCTTTTCTGAAGGTCTCCAAACCCCCAGAATAATTCCATTCTCAGGGAACTGCATTTATATAAAGTTCATGGTTTCTAGAAATCTCTTAGAGCTCATCTTTTGTGTGTGATAACTTTGTGGCTTGTTTTTCCACAAATTTACTTAATTCCTCCAAGTCCCTTTTGCCACCTTCAAATTTGACTGGGCTCTGCTTGTTGTTGCTGGGAGCAAAGTAGATTGTAGGGAAGCCCTCTACTTTATAACTGTCGTGGGGCACATCATTAGCAGTGGCATCCATTTTGGCAATGACAAGATTCTTCTCGTTCTTGTATTTCTTTCCAAGAGCTGTGTAATCTGGATCCAGCTTTTTACAGTGGCCACACCATGGTGCATAGAACTCTATAAGGACATCTTTCTTTGAATCCATGACAATGTCATCAAAAGTCTTGCCGACCACAACCTTCACTGGTCCTTTGTTGCTCTTGGGAACAGGCTGAGACTTCACAATAGGTTTCAGCTTACCTGTCAGAGAAGAAAAAGAGATGCAGTCATCGATTTGAACTTTGTGGCAACAAAAGTAGTGCTCAACATCAATGCAAGACTGTCACTCTTACATTTGCATTCTTAGAAAAACCTCTTACAATACTGGCTTAAGATTTAACTCAATATTTCAACAATCATTCTTATTAAGCCTTAAGTTTTGCAACCATGTCAATTTCATAAGGAATACATAAACCAATAACTTACCTTTTTTGAAGGCCATGATAAAGCTTCGAAGCACATCAGAGTCAAATTCTTCTGGCTCCATGGCATATTTCTTCCCTCCCTCACCAAGAATTCCAACATTCACCTCCTCCCCACTTTCACTGAGTCCAAGGCTCTTCAGTTCATCAGCATAGTCTTCCTCATCCGCAATAGCAAATGTGTACTCTGGGAAGTCGTTTGCTACTTCAAGCACTTTGCTCCTCCAAAATTGTGTGGCTGGGTGGAAATCATTTGTGTGTCAGTAGTGAACAAAAGCATTTGCATTGCACGCTACAGGTATGATCTTAATTCCCTTTACACAGCTTTGCTACATACCAACTCTGTAGTCAAAACTGAAGTCCACTCCATAATAAACAATCACAAGAGGTCGAGTGGCGTATCTCTTTGCTTCGTTCGTCTGTTTTCTGTGTCCAACCAAAGGTAGTATGTGTTTCTTGAAGAATTCTTGAATTTCTGAAGCGGGTGTGGAGTCCTTTAGGGAAGAAAAAAAAATTATATTTTAGGGAATTGAATTGCAGTTTGTCACATTTACCATAGTTCACAAAATTCAGTCATTAAATGGGAATACACACAAATAGGAATTTTAACTTGAGGGTGACAGCCTTCCCCACACAGATTTCGCCACATGGGCCAACAGAAAATGGTTTGGTTTGAAAGTAACTTCTTACCGGTTTTTGCCCACCTTACCGGTAATGTTACCGCACCTTAAATGAATGGTAATGTTCTAATAATGTTAATTCACCCAAAAATTTTAATTCTGTCAGTAATCATTTTCCCTCATGTTGTTCCAAACCGTAAGACTTTTGTTAATCTTCGGAACACAAATTAAGATATAAATTAAGAAAGGGAGGCTTACTGCGCTACTGAAAAATGCCAAAACGATCCGGTGCAACCAGGGCAGGACAAGATCAGAGTCCTTGAGGACTCTGATGAAGATGTAGTTCTACATCGAAACGTTAGTCAATTGTTGCACCTTTAATAAATTTGCTCTTAGAAGATCTGTGCACCGGTGTTTCTCCCGTTCTGACAAATTAAGATATTTTTGATTAAATCTGAGAGCTGGATCACTCTTCCATAGGCTTCTTAAAGGATTGAAACTGGCCGGCCCAAAAGTTACGAAAGACATCATTAAAATAGTCAAAATAGTGACTACAGTGGCTCAATCTTAAAGGGACAATGTTTACTTTATGTATTTTATTATTTAAAATCAATATTTGTATTCATAAATGTCCTCAATGGTGTACAGGTAACAATTATCTGACTTATCCTCGTAAACAAAAAAATGTATCTTTATATACATGGGAAGGGTAAGTCCACAGAGGCTTCCATGTAGTTCCGCCATCTTGAAAAACTATAATAGTAGGGACAGATAGTACTAGGCCAGCGCATTTCCAAAACGTGTTTTCGTTCAGAGCCAGCGTGACGTGACTGAAAGCAGAAAAAGCAGAGAATCAGAGCAATGAGAGGCACAAAGCTTCTGTGTCGCACATCACACGTAGGCTCCATTGGCCGACACTGGTCATGTGTGTGAGATGCATGTGACGTACAACCTAGAAGCTTTGCGTAGTTTCATTACATGAAATCTCGAGGCCAACAGAGAAGGGAATGAATAGTTGAACAAAGTCTTCATTTTTGCGCACAAAAAGTATTCTCGTCGCTTGATAAACTTAAGATTGAGCCACTGTAGTCACTCGGACAATTTTAACGATGTCTTTAATAACTTTCGATACCTTAAGAAGCCTATGGAGGAGTGATCCAACTCTCAGATTTAATTAAAACCATCTTAATTTGTGTTCCGAAGATGAACAAAAGTCTTACGGAGTTGGAACAACATGAGGGCGAGTAATAACAGACAGAATTTTCATTTTTGGGTGAACTAACCCTTTAACAATAGTGCCATGCTTGGTTTGCAAAGATCTCACAGAAGCATTAAAGATGCAGAACTTACTTTAATTGTTAATGAATAAGATGTTGGCTCATATTTAGACCTAAACTTCTCTGGATGGAGCATGACTACTTCACCAGGTGAAGCCTTGAGGAAGTTTGCAACTTCATTGTTGAACGTATGCATAAATTTGTAGTCATCTCTCAGAGAGTTACCTGCAGCAAAAGACAACAAGAAGTTAAGGAAAAAATTAAAAGTAAAGATTAAATCTTAAATCCATTTGAGAAGGAAGACTTTCAGACAGCATAATACACACATGCTTCTTGATAGATCTCATATGCTGCATCTTCACTGGAGAAAACGCCTACAATAACAGCATCATCGCCATCTCTGAGGATCTCCTGAACCTGTTTCAGTGTCTGCACCTGCTTTGATGGAGGACCCGCCTGGTCGGACATATAATCAACAATACCTAGAAGAAAAAGAATGAAGAGACTGAAATTCCCAACGATTCACCAAGTCACCAAGACAACGGGTGAATGCCTACCGAACTTCTCCCGTGGACCATTGTAATCGAAAGCTTTGCCCTTTCTGAAGATTTTAAGGGTTGGGTAGCCAGAAACAGCAAACCGCGTCGCTAAATCACTCTCTGTAGTGGCATCTACTTTAGCCAGTGGAATAGGAGGACTGCGATTGCTGAGCTCTTTAGCAGCCTTCTCATACTCAGGAGCGAGTCTCTTACAGTGGCCACACCTGTTTGAATTTAAACATTGTATTCTCAAAAAGACACAGTGATGGTTTAGAAAGAAGGCAAAGAGGTTGCATGCCGAGGTAATAAATAAGCTGCATGGGACTCTAAATATACAAACCAAGGTGCATAGAACTCCACCAGAATGATTTCAGCATTGTTCACCACATCATCAAAATTATCCTTAGTCAAGACAAGGGTGGCCTCTGGAGGAGGTTTCCAGTCTGGTTGGGCAACTTCTTTAACTCGTTCCACGATGGCTGGAAAAATGAAAGTTAAACCATGCTTGATTAACAATATGCAAGGAAAGTAACTGAATTCAAATAATAATAATAATAATAATAAAAATCTATTTAAATGAAGTTTAAGTGCACTCACCATGCTCACTTCTGTCCCCATCATAGTCCACCGGCTCCCCTTTTTTGAGTATTTTGATGGTGGGATATCCAGACACTTCAAACCTACTGCCCAGAGCACTAGCCTTAGTGGCATCAACCTTTGCCACAGGAATAGGTGGGTCATTCTCCTTTAGTGTCTGAGCGATCTTCTCATACTCTGGAGCAAACTGTTTGCAATGGCCACACCTGGAAAAGTACAATATTTACATGACCAAGGTCTTTGACAGGCAATGACGCGTCTCCTACTGATGTGAAGGTCAGAACTTACCACGGTGCATAGAACTCCACCAGTACTGTGTCTTTGCCTTCCATAAAGGTTTCAAAGTTTTCATCAGTCAGCACCAGCACCCCATTCTCCTCCTTCACTTCAGTATCATCTGCCTCATCATCGTCATCGTCGTCGTCATCTACGTCTCCTAGATCTTCAGCTGAATCTAAAATATTTAACAAATATGAAATGGATTAAGCTAGATCAATATTTCCTATTTTTCCTTGATACTTTTCTTAGGTTTTTTTTCTAAGTCTTTGTTGAGTTGCAACATTAAAATTAAAAAAATAAAATAAATAAAATGTGTATGGTCTCCACAACAGTCCAACATGCTATGTGTTGCCCTGAAGTACAATAATACATCTTGCTAGCAAATGCAACGGCTTTGAATATCTCAAAATACTCACAAGACTTTTAGATATTAACATCCTGCAAGAGATATCTTACCATCTTTGGCATCTTCTTCGCACCGGCTTGGTAATATGAAGTGTGTCACTCCAAGCAGCACAATCAATAGAAATGATATCTTCTTCATGATCTGGAATATTCTTGCCTCCTTTAGTTAGCTTGGCGGCTTAAACCGAGGTGCATACACTGCTAACGGAAGTTAAAGGAATAAATACTGTGATAGTTATGATACTGCTTGCATGAAATGCTTTTTGCTCAGCTCATCACAAATCTCGCATTTTTCCCTCAATGCTATTTTATCACTTCGCTTCGCTTCCCCACACCTTTACTTGAACTTGTCTGACTTGCCACGCTCTGATTGGTTGGCAGCGCAAAGACTTGGCCAATCATCGAACGCCACTAAAGTCCGCAGCTCATGCACGTTCGAAACTGCAATTGGGTGGTCTGTCATGGACTACAATCTGATTGGATGTTAAATGAAAGGGAAAGGACGAGATCCAGGAAGTGTAACCAGGATCAAGTTATGCAGTTTCTCTGAATATGGTTATACATGCATGTTTTTGAGCAAAGTTAAGTTTTCAGTTGAAGTTATTTACCGTACTTCCTGTGTAGTAATACAGTAAACGAGACAAAAAGGGTAGACATGTAAAAGTTTTATTCACTAAAATGTTATATATGTAGAAATGTAAATTAACAAAAGAAAGTTTGATTTGATTATCTTAAAGAAAATTGTAAAACAAAACAGACTGATCAATCATTATGGCTAACTCACAAGGGAAGGGCCTCCCTCAGGAATTTCACTATTATGCTCCAAAATTGAATTTACAACTTTTTAAGAAAATGATTCAACTATTAATAAACAAGTCACAGTTGTCCAATTTGTCAAACAAGCCATGTCCTTGTGGTAGTAATGCTTTAGCCTTTACCCATTTAACTTAATCAAATATCAAGTTTGAGGTATTGTGTAAACAATGTAGTTCAAAGAACAAAACATGCAAGTTTTAATAAAGTAAAATTTTAGAGGAAACTTATATGGCTTGAAAATGCTTGTACAAAGTACAAACTAAACAGCTATTTTTTTCTCTTGTTACATACATTGTTTAATGTAACCTGGAATAACCGTTTGCTCTTCTACAGAATTGTCCATTCCCTCGATTGACTGTCCAGCTGCCTTGGCATGCGCTGGATGAACTTTGTGCCTTTGCACCTGTGTGATGATTTGAGTCTTGAGGGCATCATTATGCTCATCTGCCACTCTGCTTGGATTTGATTTAGAGGACACTATGTCCTTCCACTCAGCTGGTGCACAATGGATCTGCTTGCCTGAAGAATGAATGTGTCCCTGTCCAATCTCTTCTGACTCTCTGACAGGATCTTTGAGGTGTTTTTTGAAATTTCTCAGTCCTCTAGAAAGGCTCTTCTCCTGCGTTCTTCCTCTGCCTTGGTGTACGTACTGAGCCATTCTGTGTTCTAGTGGTAGTCTTGAAGTGAATTAATTAGTGAATTACATTGTTTGATTTTTTATTGTACATCATCCATCTACTGTATTTGACTTAGAGATCAAGTCTACCTGTGAGTGTTTTCCTTATATGACAACAATGAGTCACTGCTCATATCCAGGAATTCTTTGTGTTTCTTCCCCAATCTCTGTGGCTGACTATTCACACAGTTTCCATCAAAAGTTATACTCTATACAAAACAACAGTATGCAATTTAATAAATATAATACCAACTTTAACATGTAATGATATTAATAAACATTATATACAACGTGCACATGCAAGCCTCATACAAATGTGTTTGCACAGTGCAGTGTGAATAATGTGAGTACACTGCAAAAGTAAAATAATCACCTCTGAGTCTGAGTAGTAAACATGGTCAGAAAGTGGGAAAGAAAAATGTTCTTTTGCAGGCAGGGTGTTGTGGAGACTGTCTGTCATGGTGCAGAGATGAAACAACAGCTCATCCATGAGATCCTCAAACTCTGTTAAGTAAAAGCTCTGTGGAAAGAAATGCAGATTTATCTTTAAACAATTGTAAAATCTCAACAATGATGCTGACAATAGTGTTTACATATTAGAAACTGTATTAATGATTGCAGGAAGTGCTTACATTAGTATGGACATGATGGTCAGTTTGCTTGGGACTGGCTTTTCCAATAATGAGTAAAGCCATATCTTTGACATTATAGATCATCTCAAAGAGAGTCAGTAAATGTTTTCTTTTTTTAGTTGTCTTTGTTTGTTTCACAAAAATGGTAAGGGTGGCAATTACCTGAAGGGGGATATCAAAGTAATATCAAATCAAGACAAATTATGTCAACCAGTCTAGGAGGTATAGTTTCAATATGAAAATAAACACTTTAAATTAAACTGAGATATAACTGCACTTAAAAATACACTGTTTATCATTCATAAATAATACATATTTGATATTCCAATACATACCATAGCATTCAGTGGAATCATAGTGCAAAATATAGCTCCAAAATAAAGTGTTGTTGGGACTTGGGTTTGGAGGTTAATGTCACTAAAGTGGCTCAAGCTAAAGAAATGAGTGAAGAGCAAATGAGCAGATCTAGTGATACCAGTAAATGGGAATGAATAAAAGATCAAGTTGCGGAGACCAGAGACGGCCACAGCGACAATAACACCAGGTGCCTAAATAGAAATAAAGAAAGTAATTTAAGGGAAGTAGCTACCAGAGTAAACTGATTTTAACATATTGTGTTATGTAAATCAATAGGCTACCAGTAACCAAAGCAGGTTGGAGAAGATCAGATTCCAGGTAGACACAGCTGCCGCTACTGCTTTGTTTAGTCGTAGTAAGGACACACATTTCAGAAGAAGCAAGTTCACAACAGCACCAAGGAGTGATTGAGAAAGCTGTGAATTATAAATATGTTCATATTTAAAATGATCTGTTTGCCAGTGAATACCATTTGCTAAATTCAGAACACTTTCAGCAAGTCTGAACAATTTTAGCTCACTTTGAGCCATGTCACTGCATGCAGTGCCACTTTTTCTCTTTTTTTGTGGATTATACACATTATGGCATATTCACATAGTGGGATACTAGGAATATAGTATAATGAATTAAACTGATATGTCTTACCTGTTCACAAAAGAAGATGGGACTTAGATCAACAGGTAATGTAAAATCCACCTTCTGAAGGAAGTCAATCCTCTCTGTTTTTAGCATAAAGTTGTACACAGAGCAGATATATCGTATAAGACTGCAGATGATAACTGTCACCTATGTATATAAAAAAATACAGTAATTAGCAGAGTAAAGTCCTTAAAAATAGATAGTATGATGTCGAAGTGTATTAGACAGAGTGTAATGTCACCTCTAGCCAGCTCCTAATGTTTCTCCAGTAAAACCATCCTCTTTGAGTCATAACATATATTTGCCAATACATATGAAGCAGAATAAATGAAAAGAAAAGAAGCTAGAAGTAAAATGACACAGAGGAAAAATATTAAGTTAAATATAATAATAATATATATATATATATATATATATATATGAAATATAAAATTGTGTAATATTATAATGGGATTGTATACATATTCTATACTCACAATATCACATTTAACCTCCACATTAAACTTAATGTTAATGTGTCTGAGCTGTAATTAGATGCTCACCTCACAGGTCATAACAGTGTAGTCAAGGGCAGCTGGGAAATGGTAGAGTCTAGTGGACTGAACACTTGCTGAGGGTATCAGAGCTCCTGTTGAGGTTTGCTCTACTAGAACGGTGACTGACGTGAAGAGGTTACTGGGCCCGTTGTACAGGAGAAATTGGACCATCACAATCTGGGTGAATGGTGTCATCCAGCTGGTATCCAGAAGCTTTTTAAATGACTGGATTGCTTTGAACCTATTTTAGCAATGAAATACATATGCTTAAAATAAAAGATTATATATTAAAATTACAGTTCACATAAAAGATTATTAATTAACAGTTTACCTTGTTTTTCCCAGGTTCACACTCACTTTTTCTCCCTCATAACACCCACGTTTCCCACAAAGTAAGTCTCTGTTTGCCACAGATTGGTTATCAGAGGATTTCATATTGTTCTTGCCCAACAAATTCAAGATCTGTTCATAGAGAAAACACACTGGAATAATTCAGTTGATTTTTTTTTTCTTTCAAAAAAAGTATTTTATGCTCACCAAGGCTGCACTTTTTGATGAAAAAGATTGTAGCAATATTATTACAATTTAAAATCAATATGTTATATAATAATTATTTTAAATGACATTAAAATATGATTTATTTCTGTGATGGCAAAGCTGAATTTTCAGCATGGTTTTGTAAGACTGGAGTAATAGCTGCTGAAAATTCAGCTTTCCATCACATGAATAAATTAATAAATTCAAGTAAAAAAAAGTTATTTTAAATTGAAATAATATTTCACAATATCATCAAATACATGTAACCTTTTTGAGCATAGAGACTTCTTTCAAAAACAAAAAAACCTAATAAAACTTTTGATCTGCAGTGTATGTCAATTGTGTATTTATCTTATAGGTATTCACATTAAAGGAGTGAGCGTTGTGAGCGTTGGTGATTTACCTGGCATGATGAGTTATATGTGCTCTTGATCTTTCTAATAACTGGACTCCCAATTAAAGAGAAAGCACCTCGGAAATCTCCTGTCTGATAAAGCAACACATACGCAGTATTATTCTTTGTAAAGCCACTTAAATCCTGTTTTTAAATAGCTACAGATGTCAAATAAATAATTTAAAAAGTACTTCATTTTCTATTCCTTTCTCATAGCAGTTGGCATTGTCATATAGTCTCTCAAGGAAAATGGTTGTTGCCCATTTCCACCAATCGGCATGTTTTTGGATGGAGTAAAATGAATTTTGCGGACCCCTGTTTATATGAAAATACCATTAGCACTTGAGAATTTTATGAGAAGTAATGTGGTTAAATGATAATGTCTGTATTTACATTGTGAAATGAGTTTTGATAGCCTGATTCAAATGGTACTTGTCATCGGTAGACTTTCCATAAGTGACAAATAGAATCGTCCACAGCATTATTAGGTGTAACATCAAATCCCTGTTGAAGTAAAAGTGATTTTTTTTTAGATTAAAGGTTTAGAAAAAATTAATTATTGAGGTTGATTAAATAGTAAGACCTTGTGGTTTTGTAAAGGAGAGTCTGTTTCTTTATCTGGCCTCTCACACACTTCAACTCTCTTGAATTGGGTGGCCGCACTAGACGCAGATATCTGGCTCTCTGACGGGCAGCGAGCACCTGCTCATCAAACATAATACAGAGTGCTTGGTAAACTTGATTATTATTCATCTAAAGTTCTCTTTCAATTTCATGCAATCAAAACATGTTTACATGATTTTACCCTTTCAAAATGGGACTGCTGGTATTTGCTAACCATGACATCCTCAATGGTTTGGTCCTTGAGTTTCAATAACTCAGTGACAGGCTCAGTTACACTTAGATTGTGGAACCAGTTCGACCTCTTTCGATGTAGCAGAGACACTGCGATAGCAATTATTAGTATCTGTATGAGGAAATAAACATTTAAAACAGGTTTCGCTTCATATAGAATTTTTAAGGGCGTTTTTAGACCTGTAGATCGTTTGCTTTGTTCCAAAACAGGGACTTGATTTGTTACAATGTTGCATTTTCTTGTTGGTTCAATTCACTTTCACAAGGCAACATTTCAAAGCATACAAAATTTCACAATATATTAAAATTAAGAGATGCTCTTTGGTTTTCAACTGCCATAACTAATGTACACACTCACAGAATCAGACACTGCTGCCTTTTATATATAACACATTTCCAGTTATGAAATATATCATCACTTGGTTCATTTGTCTGTTGGGTCGAATGACTCTCTGACCGCAACCAAACCACTCCGAGTTAGTTATCAATCGGGCAGAGACTTCTTCAGTCAATCTCGTAACGATTTTTTTAGTGCAGATCTGGGTGCGATTGCTGTGTTCATAAATCATCCAAGTGGGTGCTGCAGTGGTGGTTGAGGAGAGATCTTCTGATACGATTGTAAATCGCTTTGGGTGTATACATATGAAAGTGCTATATAAATGACTCATATATATACATACCTAAACAAAACCAAGTGAGAAAACGCACCAGATTCTGAAACAAACGCTTCAAATGAGCCAGGTCTGAAAACACCCTAGATCCAAGAACAGAACGTGGGCCAAATATTAAATTGAAACCATGTACAGCTACCCTACACAGTGAGTGCGGGATCAAGATGATTTACCATTGCTGGATGCAGTACAAAGCCACAGCAGACAAGAGAAAAGAACACAGAATGAGCCCACAGAAGAGTCTTTGTTTTGCTGAATCTGTAGGGTAACAAATTTAAATCCTAATTTTCATATATTTGGGAAACAAATATTGTGACAACGACACTTAAGTAATATTCAAGCTCCAACAGAATATAGTAGTACAAAGGATCACCCACTTTACTCCAAGAGTTCCCGTGATGGTGACACATGTAAGAGAGAGAGTCAAGCAGAGGGTCCAGCCCACATAATAACACCAGGATTGAAGACTTCGGATTCTACCACCACAAAACTGCCGATTCTCTGGGATATCTGTGTATAAAACCAAAAAAAAAAACAACAACAACATGAATAGAGTAAAGGAGAAAAATATTGAAAGAAGTCTGTTATGCTCATCAAGGCTGCATTTATTTGCTCAAGAATGCAGTAAAAACTGTAATATTGTGAAATATTATTACAATTTAAAATAACTATTTATTTCTGTGCTGGAAAAGCAGAATTTTCAGCATCATTACTCCAGTTTTCAGTGTCACGCAATCCTTCAGAAATCATATTAATATGCTGATTTGCTGCTCTATTTATTATTATCAATATTGTTGTGCTGCCTAATATTTTTGTTAAAACCCACACACAGGATTCTTTGATGAATAGAAAGTTCAACAGTTGTTTTGAAATAGAAATATTTTTTTAACATTATGTCTTTTTCTTTAAAAAAAAATCCTACTGACTCCAAACTTATTTTAAAAAATTTATATTATTTATTATTTATATTATTAAAAAAAAAGAATATATATATATATATATATATATATATATATATATACCTGTATATGTATATATATGTATGTTAAATAGTATTATTTCTAAGATGGTGTCAGGGTCGTCTTGTAGTTTTGACATAGACAAAGAATTTGACGGTTTCCAATCCTGAGTACCATACTGCAGGACAAACCATTTCATTGTCTTTAGTAATGTAGACTAAAATAATTTAAGTGTATTCAGCTGAGAATACAAAGCATATTTAACTGATCTGTACATTACACCTTACTCTTTTTTCTAAGAGCTGCGAGTCCAGTGGGAAAATGTATTCCATGACAGATACGATTCAAATGTACAATCATTCATTAGAAAAGCATCATGGTTATCTGTGAAACAGACACACCAATAGAAAGTGTTTTGCATTAAACTATATCGAATAATGAGTGGAGTGACACAAACATACCTTCTACAGGGCACACATCAGGCACCTTGACCTTATAATGCTCTCCAGACACACTATGGGACATGGTCTAAAATGGACACAGAAAAAAATCTGTAGCGTATAAAAACAATAACTAAATATATTTATCATACATAATAAATATAGTTGTCAGAATTTATGCATCCAGTAGATTCAAAATTTAACTGTGTGGCAAGAAGAAACTGAGGGACAATTTCAGGCAGCCTGGGAATTCTGACCTTGCCGACACGGAACACCAGGGACACCAGACCCCCCACCGGCATCACAGCAAGAGCACTGCACAGGCCTGTTACCATGGAAACCGGTGAAACATCAATAAGGCCCAGCTCTAAAAAGCACTGCCCATTGGTGTAGAGAAAAAAAGACGATATGTCTCAATATTGTGAAAATGAAACAAACAAAATCACACAAATGTTGACAGTATTTGTTGACATGCATTGATTTCTATGTTGAACTGAACACCTGTTCTTTCAAAAGATTTATGAGCATGGCGCTGACACACATGTAGCCCTGCAGGAGCAGCAGACACACACTCCAACGCTGAGTGTGTGTGTGAGAGCTGAAAGACGGACGGCTGTACACAGACAGCCATGGATGGAAGTCCTCCAAGTATTCTGTGAGTTTCAGATATAGAAACTTTCTCAAATACATAGAGGAAAAACACAAGATTTTTGTTAGATTGCATACAGACATATTCAAAGAAAAAACACATCATCATTGTATAGATATGACAAATTATATCATTAATTGATTATGTTTTTTTATTTTTATTTAGTTATTTAGATTTTCTCCATTGACAGATAATATATCAAACAATATACAAATACCACTGATTGATAACATATCATGTACTTATAACTCTCAATATGTATATGACTTCCATGTCTCTTGTTAATAAACAGATCCATGACAATACAGAGGAGGAAAAAGTGCTTCATCATAACATAAGAATAAAAGGAAGGAGAAAATAAAATAATAGCAGAAATACCTACAGTATACAATGTATTGTGCCAAAAAAAAATTAAACTTAACATATAGTTTTTAAAGTCTTAAAGTTTTAAACAATATTTAAGGAAAACATAAGTACATATATAGGCATATATAATGTTATATGGGAAAGAAAATTTTAAATTTAATACAAAATAAAAATTATATGGGCAAGTTTTTACATTGCTTAACTCATCAAACTAATTTAAGCAATGTTCATTTATATATATATATATATATATATATATATAAAATGCAAGTCAACTCATTTTTTAAAGTCACTTTAATGTAAAGTAACACTTAAACATCCAAGTTGATTAGATTTAAAAATGTACTTTTATTTTACAGTGTAGTGCAAAAATTTCAGCTTTTCAGACAGAAATGATTATTAAATTCATAAACAAACGTAACAAAGATGAAAACATTTTTAAAGAGTGTTATTTAAATAATGTGTTTAAATATGAAGGCTGCAATCAAATTAAATAGACAAAGATGTCCTTTACTAAAAGGAACTGTCCACCCAAAATGAAAATCCTTTACTAACAATATATTTTTATATGTTTGAATGTTGGTTACAAAACCGTTTCTGTTCCCATTAACTTCTATTGTATGGACAAAAAAATACAACAGAAGTAAATGAGATTCAAAATGCTTGGTTACCAACATTCTTCATCTTCATTTGTGTTCTGCAGAAGAAAGAAAGTCATACAGGCTTGGTAAGACAAGAGGGAGAGTAAATAATCACAGAATTTTCATTTTGGGGTGAACTATCCCTTTATAATAACACTGAACAGACACAAAAAAACCTATAGAAATATTTAAGCTGCATATCATTAACAACATGGGGGATCACCTGTTTAAATGTCAGCCCGCATTCAGAAGCAGATAAACTCCTCTCCACCCTTCCATCTCCCTCATCCACTGCCAGCCAACACTGGCCCAGGAAGAACGAGCTGGACCCCTGCACCAGGTCTTTTACCAGCACATGGCTCAGGTACCAGCTAGGAGATGAACCTCTATTATCATGCCAAAGATGCACCTTCCATATCCGACCCAGACTCACTGGGGAGCTAAATAGTGAAAGTTAAATAAAATGGTCAAAAATGTAACAATTTAGGTTTAAGTTAATGGCTGCATTGTATCAATAACAATAAATGGCATTTACCTCAGAATAAAAGTGTTCCTTGAGTTACATGTGAAGAGTTTGGAGTCAGAGCTGCTGAGTTCCCTTGTTTGAGAGACACCATCATCTCCATATAGAACAATGTAAACCTGACAACATTGTACAAATAGAGATTCAGAAATCAACTGTAATGTATAATGCATGCAACTTTGCACACATTGTATCCAGCAATGGTCACAAGGATTAATACCTTTGCTGTCATTCTGGTTCTAGATCTAAAGCCTGTATCGATGGTGACCGCATAGAGGAATCTGTCCGAGGGATTGTTTTCTGGAAGCAGGAATGAGCCTGTAGCTTTCTGAATGGAAACATCAGCCTTTTTACACAAGACCAACACCAACACATAGAGACCCACGAATATTACTGACAAAATGATCAGTGTGTAGTTGGTTTTGGAGCTGCAAGACAGGAAGAGAACATCTAAGTGTAAGTTAAAAAGCAACAATATTCAGATCTGATCAATTTGGAGAGGGGTATTGCAGGTGTACTGGATAAACTGTGAAACATCTGTAGAGTTGAAGCTGCTTATGATGTTCTCATGTGATACTGCAAATGATGCCAGGTGGTTGCAACTGAAAAAAAAGGATCATCAGACACATTTTTAGTTTTATTAGTATATGGAGCCACATAATATTGGCCTACAGAACAAATGATTGTCACAATAATAGATATTAAAAGATGCTATTAAGAATTCATTGTAACAAACCTATTTGTAAGGCCCAGAGAGAAGGACATGAATAGTTGAAATAAAGTCGTTTTTTTTGTTTGTTTTTTTGCACACAAAAAGTGTCGTCGCTCGATAAAGTTAAGATTGAGCCACTGTAGTCACTCGGACTATTTTAACGATATCATGTCTTTCTTAACTTTTCGAGGCCGTCAAGTTTCAATCCCTCAAGAAGCCTATGGACTAGTATGGAGGAGTCAGATTTCATCGAAACTGTCTTAATTCGTGTTTCGAAGATAAACGAATGTCTTACGGTGATGGAACCACATGAGGGTGAGTAAATACTGACAGAATTTTCATTTTTGGGTGAACTAACCCTTTAACTATAAAATATCAAAATACTTTTAACCTATTTTTTGTCTTACCACTAGATGGAGCATTTATTGTATGATTCATACCTGCAGTAGATCTTGTCTGGGGAAACACCACCATGAGAAAAACAACCCCTGCGATTCCTCTGTTTCACACCATCCCAGGAAAGACACTCCACAGACTCGATGCTAAGTGTGTAGTTCACAGCTTTGGCAATGTACTTGTTGCAAGGGCTTTTATTATAGTCTGCATTGAGAAGCATCAGGTAGACAGCACCAGTAGCTGGATATAAAAATAAATAAATAAATAAATAAATTATACATATACATACTAATGATGGCAGTAATGTTTAACATATATAATTAATCTATATAAAATCTTTTTTTAACATTTAATTTGTACATATTTAAATGTTGTACCAAAAACAAATGTTTAATCAAACCATGCAAATAGGATTGAGGGAGGAAGATGTGAGCTGTCTCTCCTTTCCAGTGATATATTTTCTGTTCGTTGTACTTATTAGGTGTTGGCTGCTCGTACACTCTGTGAACAGATGTTATATTTCACATAATGGTTGACAACATTGTAAAAAAATGGTTTCTGCCATACATTTGTAAGCACAATCAACTTGGATATTTAAGTCATTTCAATTGTAAATTGTAAAAAATCATGAAAATATATTTTTTACAGCGTATAAGATCACTGAAATGCAACAATGTCGTCACCTAAGCAGCAGCAGAATAGGAAAGGGGCGTTCAGCTGGCCTGTTAAACTGCACAGTGATCTGCAGGGCTCTCTGAAGGGTCAGTGACGTCATGTTGAACTGATGACTGTTCACCTGACTGTGCAGAAGAGTGAACTCTGTATGTCTGCTCTGCTGGAACAAGCAGAAACACAATTCAGGGTAACCAAATATAGAGGAAACTATTTGTAATCAAGCAGTAAAAAATATCTACTTTCATCTCCTCTTTTCTCTGAAACTCAATGGTAACTGGTGTAGATAGATGTCTGACTTTGATTTCCTTCCTAGTGGTGCAGTTATAGAGTCGAATGTCTGCTGTCTCTCCGCTGAACTGTAACATCACATCAGAGTGTAATTTGCTTCACAGGTCAAAGCAAGTTTTCAGAAATTCGGCCATGCATTTATAGTGTACCTGCATGTCTCTGGAGCAGCGATATGGGTTGTGCCTGTACACTGTGAGCCAGGTAATGATGCAGGGCTTCTGCTGGCTGTTGCAACTCCATTGCTGAAATTGCATCTTGAGAAAATCAGTGAGGTGGAACGTAGTGAGGCCAAATGTTTTCACCATAGAATAAGACTCGCCATCCTTCCAGGCTAACACTTCCATAAAAGTAGTGTTCACATTGTACTGCAAGATATTGCTGGATAGCATGCACTCCTGCAATCAAAATGTACAGGGTTAATATCGCAGAATCTCAGAAGAGATCTGTTTATCCCACGTTGATAATGAAAATTTAAATAGTGCATGGTTACATTGAAATCTACAGTGACTAAAATAACATATTACAGTTTACGACACAGACAAAGGTATAATAATCAGATCAAATTAACAGATCCCATGGTAGATTAAACAAATTAGAAGATGTATTTCAGAGGACTTAAAGGGATACTCCACTTTTTTTGGAAATAGGCTCATTTTACAACTCCCCCAGAGTTAAACAGTTGAGTTTTACTGTTTTCGAATCCATTCAGCCGATATTCTGATATTTAGAAGACTATCAGTAACCAAACATTTTCTGGTCTCATGACTATGGAAGAGACCAAAAACTGTCTGGTTACTGATAGTCTTCTAAATATCAGAAAATCAGCTGAATGGATTTGAAAACGGTAAAAGTCAACTGTTTAACTCCGAGGGAGTTGTAAAATAAGCCTATTTCCAAAAAAAAGTGGAGTATCCCTTTAACCCATGCAGCGAACAAAAATACAGGTAACACTTTATTTCACAGTGACATTGTTACATGTAGTTAACTATACAATTATGCATAATTACATGCAACTAACCCTAAAACCATGGACTGTAAACAAACCATACCCTAATCCTAACCCTAAAGTGAGTACAAGTACATGTAGTAACTTAATATTACTCAGTACTTAAATGTAATTAATTACACTGTGACAAAGATATCTTGAAATAAAGTGTAACCAAAATATGTTCTAAGAACGTTTACTAATGTTCCCATTCAAAACATCCAGTTTTTTTTAATGAATTTTAAAAAAATCTTGGTTATGAGAAAAATAAGAAAACATTTAATTTTTTTAATTTTGCAAACATTATGGGAATGTTGAATGTTGTCTGAACACTCTGAATCAAGAAGTAATTATTTAACAATGTCTTACGAACATCCAAATAAAACGTTTCAGAAAAAAAACGCACCATATTAATGATGAATCAATAATGGTTTTGTGTTGAGGTATTAAAAACATTATTTAAGACCAGACAACTTTCAACAAACATTCTATAAACATGACAGGAAGAACATTTGTTCACAATTTTGAGAGAGTGTAGCCAGAACATTAGCTGAAGTACTGAGAACATTCCCTGTTAGCTGGGAATTCATTAAAATTATGAAGAAAAAATATGTTAATATTATGTCATTTTGAAAACTTTGCATCAGGGTTGCCTCTCTTACCAGTACTAAATTTGTAATGGTGTAAAGCACTTTGTTTGTGAGTTGGTGTCCTGGTCTGGACAAAAGCACTGGAGCCTCCAACACACCAGACAAGAGAGTTACCAGTGCATTCACCATCCCAATGTCCAATATATGGCCTTCTGGAAGCTTGGACTCACGTAAAAGGGATGGGATGTCGTGAACATGCCGGATTACTTCTTTGGCACTGTGAAATGTCACCTAAATCAGATATGAAATAATTAGCTAAATGTATAAAACATTATAAATAAAAACCATTAAAAATAAATCCAAGCTTGGGTTATACTCACTTGACTAGAGATTCTTATCAAATCAGTAAGACTGTAAATGATTTCAAATAAATCTGCCTAAAAAACAAGAACAGAGTTAAATATAGAGGGGTTTTTTTTTTGTAAAAATGTCAGAGAATCTTAGTCTAGGTAAGACCTTGTCAGTGATGGACAGCTGACAGGCCGCTGAAACAAGGGCGGTGTGTGTGAGTGTCAGATGCTCGACAGAAGACTCCGGGTCTAGACTCAAGCGTTTCAGCACCGTGATCAAAAGAGAGATGTAGTTGAGGATGTCTCGGTTGCTTCCAATCTTACTCAGACCGGTTAGGTTACCGATTCCGTACATGTACCTGAAAGAAGGAATACAAGTCATTTAAAATCCTAATACGTCAGGTAAAGGTGTGAGTATTAATGATTTGTCCGCACAGTTCTTGTTCAGCGCTGGGATGGGAGGATGAGTCTCTCTGAAAGCTTGGATGAACAGTCACTGTCACAGGACATAGTTTGGTCGCTGCTCCAAATCTGTTCTTTATTTCAATATAGACTGTGACTGTGGAAAAAAGAGGTGTTCTGAGAATGAGAATAGAGACGTGGCTTGATCGTGTGAGATCTTAATAATGTAAACGTGAAATGACCTTGTCTACTTAAATATGGATTCTTTGTACCTTTGTAATTGTCATTAGGATCTCCACTAGGAAGATTGAAGTAATGTTGGAAATCCCTGCCTTCATAAAGAAGTTTCCTTTCAGTGTTTCCAACACTAAAACTGTACTGATACAAGAGATCCTATACAGAAACATACTTACATCAAGATCAGATCAAAGAGAAAATGAATGTTGAACAAAATACAAAATATGAATATGACAAAAGGAGCACAAGGAAAAACACAGACCTCTTTTCCAGAGGAGCAGAATACGCTGAAATGAGTGTGGATTTCAGAGCCTGTGCTGGGCTGCACTTGGCAGCTCAATCCCTCCGGAACAGCTTGTGTGTGGAAGAACAGCTGGCTTTTCCCTTGTAGGCGCTCCTCAGAACCTGACAAGGTGAGAAAAAAGGAGTAAAAAGATGCAAATAGCATTCGGCCAAAGGAAATACAAACATTTAATGCATTGTTTATTCATTTGTAAAGTTTTCATTTTGAATTTCCAAAAAGAGATGAAACTCACTTGCAGACACTTCGAGCATATAAAGACTCTTTGGTTCAAGCATGAAGGGTTTAAATGTGATGGCCGCAGAAGATAATCCTAAAGGAAAAAGAAGACAGAGAACTAAAGGATCTTTTTACAATTCATATGTAAAATGAGTTATGTCAACTTAGTTTTATAGAAATGTATATGTAATTCAGAAGGTTTTGTGGGCGCTGTGAGTGCTCTCACATACCTGTGAGAGTGTAAGACTCAAACACAGACTCAGGAATGAGCTGGCGGTCCAGATCCAGCAGGGTCTTCTCAGAAACCGCAGGGCCAAACAGGTTGGGGTCCACCAGATTATCACCCTCATTGTCATAAGAGTGAGGGAATGATCCTTCATTCCAACTAAATCCCATTGAATTGGTCCCTTTCACACACAGAGACACACAGATAAACACACTACAACATTTAAATACTAGAAATCATTATTGCTCTTTTGATGCAGAGCATTAAAAACATGTACCTGTAGGTCTGCCAACTGGAACACCAGGATCAGCCTCTTCAATTCCAAAACTATAGTAATCATACTCTAAACAGCACCAAAACTATCATATGAGCATCAATCATATTATTCAGTGCTATTATTCAAAAAAATTTAATTTCAGGATGTAAAGTCGTTTGTTTGCTTATTAAGAGTAAAATACCTGGTAGCGAGGGATGATCACCTGATACTGTCTCGTAAATGTCTGTGTAAATCATGTCCTCAGTACGCCAGTCTGCAAATGTATTTCACAAAGTTATAACATTTATTCAATTTTATTGTATTCATATTATTATTACATTTGATTATTATAATATTATTACTATTACTACTACTAATAGTAATACTCATTGATATCATTATTATTAGGTTACCTTAATACTCTCATTGAGTTAGATAACTGATCTATTAAATAGCATGAGCTCTTCGTATTGTAAAAATGATTGTTAATGTCCAAATTATCCAAAAACAATCTACCACCAGAGGGCGTCTAATCTCATTTCATTGCAATAGAAATCGTGATAAACAACAGCTCTGTACAGAGCTAATTTTGTTTCAAGCCATAAAAACAAAAGCTTTATTATAATAGGGAACCAAATTCAAGTTTGAAAACTTTTACATAATTCATTATTTGACATGATTCTGACTTTAAAGGAGTAGTTCACTTAAAAAAAAAAAAACTTTTGCTGATAATTTACTCACCCCCATGTCATCCAAGATGTCTACGTCTTTCTTTCTCAGTCGAAAAGAAATTAAGGTTTTTGATGAAAACATTCCAGGATTTTCTCCAAATAATGGACTTCAGTGGGAACCAAACGTTCAAGGTCCAAATGAGAGTTTAAAAGGGCTTTAAAAGACACCAGACGATGAACAAAGGTCTTATCTAGGACCCTTCGAGTCATGACTCGAAAAAAGATTTGTTCATTTTGATGAACAAGTTTGAACAGGAGAGTCAGGAACACTAATCAAAGAACAGAGCAAGGCGAGCATTTGTGCTTATAAAACTTGAACTTTTTTATTTATTTTTGAAATGACCAATCGTTTCGCTAGATAAGACCCTTATTCATCGTCTGGTGTCGTTTAAAGCCCTTTGAATCTACACTGAAATTCTCATTTGGACCTTGAACCGTTTGGTTCCCAATGAAGGAGAAAATCCTGGAATGTTTTCATCAAAAACCTTATTTCTTTTTCGACTGATCAAAGAAAGACGTGGACATCTTGGATGACATGGGGGTGAGTCAATTATCAGGAAAAGTTTTTTTTAAAAGTGAACTACTCCTTGAAGACATGGTCGATCATTCTCACCACAGTAGCCTACACAGTATTGAGATCACATCAGTCAGTCAATGACACCTTACCTGGGGCTGGTAAGGACCCATGAAACTCCCACTGACCCCCAGACGACTCTGTTTCCCCAGGGAAGGAAGGAAAGAAGGGTGTGTGCGAAGGTTTGATAGTTGGAAATCCAGGACGGTGGTAATGGTTTGTGCTGGGACTTTCAATCAGCGTGCGTACATTAACGTTATGGTGTTTCGTGTGCAACATTGAAGTCAGTGTATCTTGTGTAACTGGGGCTGTAAGGTCAATAACTTTAGATAAAAGATAAGGAGCCAAAGATATGCCTATATCTGGACCGGTGGGATCAGTAAAATGGGCTGGAGTGTAGGGTGTCACAGTAGGCAGGGAGAAATGTAAGCTCTCCTCCATTTTAGAGGGCAAACTTAGATCCATACTACTGCAGAATGGAACTGAAAGAAAAGGCAAGCACAAACAGTTTCAAATTTATCAAAAACACAAACTAAAATGTCATGGTAACTATTAGACGATTGCCTTTCTAAATGACTCCACTTACCCTCTGTAACAGCTTTGCTTGAGGCATTAACAATGTAAAGTTTCCAGTGATAGGTGACATTTGTAGCATTGAAACCACAATCATCACAGAGAGCAGAAACAGAAAACTGATCATTCCAGTTCACTGAATTTCCTCTGCAATCTTTACAAGACATATGAATGTTGCTGCAGAGAATAAAGAAAATATGATTCATTAAATGCATGATATACATTACTTTTATTTTATTTTCATTTATCCACTTAAATCCCACCTGGCACGTTTTGATGTTACAGTGATGAACATCTCAGAAGAAGAAGATTGATGGCCTCTGTACACGGTAAGAGTGAATTTAAGCAGGTCAAAGTCAGGTTTCAAGGCAAGAGCGGGAAATACAAGAACCGCTGAAGTGGTCACGATGTTCCTGTTGAAACAGCTGCTCTCTTCTGTGTTTACTGGCCTGCATGACCAGCTGTAACTAAAACAGAAACAAAAATCAACATTTCAGATGTGATCAATGCAAAAATGACAGAATGTAATCGATAAACAAGCACATTCACGTACCTTAAAGTATTATTGGGGAAATCTGGGTCGTGTGACTTTCGCCCATCTAGAGTAACAATAATGCCACTTTTTCGATTGATGAAAATATTTGTGGCTTCGCTGATGACACTGACAGGATGACTGCGCAACACTTCAATTAAAACACTGTAGTTGCTGTACACCACACTACCGGATACCTGGACCTTTGTGATGACAACAACTCTTGTTAGTATTTCCTTATGTCAATATATCTTTTTAAATGTAGAGGAGTTAAGGCCATTGCACACCGAGTCCGAAATTCGCATCCGAAATTTTCGCACGTTAAAAAAAAAATTCGACCTCACGTTATGTCAGTCACGCTTGCACACCGCCTCCGAAACTTTCGTCCGTCATAAAATTAATCGGATCGGGTTCGATTTTCTGCGTTTTTCGCATCCAGAGCCAGCATTTTGAGAGGTCTTTTGACAATTCAGGGCCGGGGGGAGCTCGTCCTCATTGCACAAATGCGCCGTGCTTTCAGTTTCGGTTTTCAATTCGATCAAGTGTTTATGTTCTCTTCTCTATATTGGATTATGAAATTAATAAACCTCCCCTTTCAATCAGATTGAAATTTAGGATCGGAAAAGGTGTGATTGAGCAGCCTATTCGATATGTATTATTTGGGAACAATATACATAACAGCCTAGCTGTTCTGTCTGCCCAGCGCTTCCACCGGGCCGCGCGCGGGTGTGTGTGTGTTTGTGTGTGTGTCCATACCTGGTCCATACCAGACACACTGCCAGTCTCCGTTCAGAATCGATTGGTTCACGGAAATTGGTGGTCTTGTTTTTAATATGTGGCTCCAGAATCGCTAGCAAAGCATCGAACTGTCCCACTGACATTCTGAGTTAAATTTTGAATCGCTCAGCATAAATTCGCAACTCCTTGATAAGGAACTCTCCTTCCTCTCGGCGCAATTTCAGGATTGGATGGACGTAATATTTTCTCTTTCTTCTCTTTTCACTAAGAGAGAGGGCAAAAATCATCCTCACTGCTTGACGAATCCATTTGGTATTTTTGCGTTTTTTCCCGCAAAGGTTTAATAAATACGCAACGGACTCGGTGTGCAAGGTTTCTATGCGTGACGAATTTTTAGGCTGACGAACACGAAAATACGCATACGAATATTTCGTGCTCAGTGTGCAATGGCCTTTAGACTGAAACAAGTGAAAGCAGACAGCTACATTAAGAAGCACAACCGTTTTCAACAATGATAATAATCAGAAATGTTTCTTGAACACCAAATCAGCATATCAGAATGATTTCTGGATCATGTGACACTGAAGACTAGAGTAATGGTCCTGAAAATTCAGTTTTGCCATCACAGGAATAAACTGGATTTTAATTTAAATTGTAATAATATTTCTGTACTATATTTACAGTTTAGACTGTATTTTTGATCAAATAAATGCAGCTTTGCATGGGAACAAGAGACTGTAGTATTTGAATCTGAGCTCTAGCAAAACAGAAAAGTGACAAAAGGACATTACCTTTGCAATAGCTTTGTATGTGTCATAATGAAGGAGGTATTTCGGAAGATCAATATACTGCCGTGTCGTGTCTATGTGTGGGAGGAGCAGTTGTCGTCCGCTCATGTCGTGTATAGTCCATCTATACAGGAGACCTCTGGAGACATTACACTGAATCTGAGACTCAAACGTCACAGCAAGATGGACATTTTGATTCCGCCACACCTAGAAGTATGCAAGCAAAATCTATTAAGTATACACACTGCTGGTCAAAAGTTTGGAATAGTTATGTTTTTTTTTTAAGTTTTTAAAAGAAGAAGTCTCTAATGCTCACCAAGGATGATTAAAAATACAGTAAAGCAGTACTATTGTGAAACATTATTACAATTTAAAAGAACTTTTTATTATAATATATTTTAAAATGTATTATAATAAATAAAAAATAATTTATCCAGTCTTCTGTGTCAAATCATTCTAATATACTCAAGTATTGGTGCTCAATTATAATTAATGGAACTTGTTACAAATTTTTTAAACTTTCTGCTGCTAAATATATTTGTAGAAACCATGATATTTTTTTTTTCAGAATACTTTGATGAATAGACAGTTTAATGAACAGCATTTATTTGAAATCCAAATCTTTTGTAAATTATAAATGTTTTTAATGTCTAATGTCCCTGCTAAATAAAATCATAATTTCTTTATTTTGTAGCCAACGTTTGAATGGTAGTACATCACAGGTTTCCACAAAAATGTTAAGCAGTAAAATTGATAATAATAAGAAATGCTTCTTGATCAGCAAATCAGCATTTTAGAAACATTTCTGAAGGATCATGTGACACTGACGACTAAAATGATGCTGAAAATTCATTTAATAGCATTACTGCTTTTACTGTATTTTTGATCAAATAAGTGCCGTCTTGGCGAGACTTTAATTACTCCAAACTTTTCACCGGCAGTGTACAGATACCTTTTTGTTAGTGATGTCTCCTAGTATAACTGTTAGAATATAGTTGTCTAATAGTGGCATATAGAGAACTTGTACCTGTATTTTATTTGGGCCCATGTTTTTCACCGGAGGAGGCTGACATGATTCTTCAACGACAAAGATGTGTCCTGTTAAAGAGGCTGAGCTCACTAGGTTGAACATAATAACCTCTAATATGTACTCTCCAGTTCTACAGAAAAATAAAAACATTCACATTTACAATTACAATACATCAAGTAAAAGTAAATTAATTATTAACCAAAATGATCCAAAAAAAAAAAATTATGAAAAAGGGAAAAAACAATTCCAAACATGGGATAATGACTTCATACATTATAATATTCCAAAAGATTTCTATTTCAAATAACTGTTTTCAAAATTGATTATAATAAAAACATTTCAGATTAGAATAATTTCTGAAGGATCATGTGACACTGAGGACTGGAGTAATGATGTTGAAAATTCAGCTTTGACATCACATGTATACACTGCATTTTAAAATATATTCAAAACAGGTTTTTTAAATGGTAATAATATTTCACAGCAATACGGTCTTTAATGTATTTTGATTAAATAAATGCAACCTTGGTGAGCATAAGAAAAATCTGCTATTTACTGTATATACACCAGAACGATGCAATTTCTACCTGTTAAAGACATGATGCTCAGTGCGTGATCCGTCTCGCTCTGTTCCATCTCCAAAATTCCAAAGATAGGAGACATCAGTTCCTGAGCTGATCCGGCAGGTGAAGTTTACAGAACGATTTGATAAAACTGAGGGACTGTACAGAAGCCTGTTGGGCTGAACAGCTCTCTGAATCACAACAGGATAAATATCTGAGCTGATGGATGTGAGACCATTAGACACACTGACAGTGACATTGTATCTGAAAAAAGATAGATAGATATAGATTAGATAAAATACTAATTCAGTAAAATCTGTATGAAGCATGTCTTTTGTAACTGAAACCTAGTCAATATGAAAATAGATTTAAAAAAACAAACAAAAGTACTTGTTTGGGAGGCGATATCTCTTTTTGAAGATTCTGGATGTTGTTTTTATTTCAGGTCCATTCTCAAATCTCCAATGAAAGTATAGAGGATTCAGCACTTCTGTCACTGCTACAAATTTGATGTCTGTCTGTGTTGCATATGCCCGTTTCTCCGAAAAAATCCAAACAGCTGGAAAGAACATCACACATCCAAAAGCAGAAAAAAACATAAGATAGTGTTTTAGGTTTACAACGGAGTAACTTTTCTTTATGAATGGACCTCACACACACACCTGGCTTGGGTTTGGTTGAGGCTTTATCCTGCTGCTTGTCCTCTGTGTCTGTGGGCAGAGGGGCACAGGAAGGGATATCCCGACCTCTTTTGGACAACATGAGATTCAAGTACTTAGTCCCAGAGGGACATGCTCTAATCTGCCAGCTGGTAGAATGAGTATAGATACTGTTCGTCATGGTCACATCTAAAAACACAAAGACATATGGTGGTCACAAAAGCTTACTCTGTTTCATTCTTCCCATATATGTAGCTATTACTGTCCAGTAAACATACTTAAATGGTACAATCCAGCAGCAGGTAATATTGCATCTATGTAGCAGGTGAAGCATCCATTGGCCAAAAGAGACATATTATGCCAGCTCTGAGGACCAGAGTTCCCATTAAATGTAATGAAAACCATGGAAATATTTTCTTTGCTCAGATCTGGTATGACTATAAATATAATCAAATATACAAGGGATTACTTTGCATTGCTTGGATGTTTTTTGAGAAAAGAAAATTGAATCTTGTGTTCAGTTTAATTGAAATAAATGTAATTAAAAGCACAATTGAATTCCAAGAAACTTAAATTGCACAAGGGTTGCTATGGCAAGACTGACAATAACCTGAGACTTCCAGGAGGAGGGGCTTTCCAATCTGCACCCTGTCAATCAAAGCAGCTCCAGTGACACCATGAACAGAAGGCCCTCTGCTGCTGTACACTGCCAACCGGCCCGTCTCATTCCCATAAGGGACAAACTCAGAGGAGAAGCATCTGTAGACAAATCAAAACCAGACATGCTTCTCAATACAAAACACCAAAACACTGAAACTTATCTGCAGGTAGTGAGTCAAACTCACAATCAAAATAATGTATATGTAGATACTGACTTTTTTCTTGGATGGTCTGAACTAGATGCATTGTGGAAGTCAAACTCTCGAATATTCTTGTGATAAACTGATACAACACATTGAAGGAAAATAGCATCACAGAGATTACCAACTTTTGATTATAGTTTGTCCTATAGCTTGGCCCACATATTATTTCACTGTTGTTTAACAATAAAAGATATCAATGAAATCCATCCAAAATGCAACTTTGCATAAACTTTTTTTTTTATTGCTGCATAAAGCAGAACATTTTAGGCTAATTCCATCTTTAAAATTCATTTGAAAATGCATTATTTTTAAGGAGTAGGCTATAACATTGTAGATTTTCTGTTTAGTTTTTTTTTTTTAAATAATTTGCATTGTAGCTATTATATGTTTATGTTGTAACTATTTGTGATATTTTAATTAATTTAATATTTTTTGTCAAGCATTCATGTATGTAACTTCTATATAAGTTTTATAGCCTTGATAATTTTTTTTAGTTAAATAAAATAATGATAATTTGGATATAATGATATTTAGATTTATACTATATTTCATTATTCACATTTTAAGTTACATGACAAAATATTTTGCAGTGCTATTCACTTAGTTACTATAAAGTAGGCTATAAGTTTAGTATAAAAAAGGACTCTTACCCTTCACTGAAACATGGTTTGGAACATAGAGGACGCTTTGAATCTTGATGGTTTTCCAATGAACTACAGTTGTTAAATCCAAGGTACACTTGAACAGCTGTAAAAAGTGTCATTTGATATTATAAACAAATCTTCGAGTTTCATCAAAGCCTTATTTGTCACGTTATCAGAGTACATACATACCATATCCCGAGATTCCTTTAACATTCATGAGAGCAAAAATAAGTAAACAAAATACGGTCCGACAGAACAGAAACATCTTATCAACTGGAATGTCTCTCGCCGTTATCGCGAACGATTTCTTTGTTCAGGTGAAAACAGGTGAACAGGTGAAAAGGAGGCGTGTCTGTTCTTGATTGACACTTGCCGTTCCAATGATCGATTGCATTCTCATACCTTCAGTCAAGGATCCCTAATTACTGCACACACACACACACAAAAAAAATCTCATTGTAATGAATTTATCCCATTTTATGATATTGTGATTTTTTTTATTTACAATATTTGTATTTTTATTTAATTTTATTTAAATTGCATAGCTATTTAAAATTCTAAAAGAAATCTCTGATCACAATCTGTTTAGCAGGCATTTAAAGGGACCGGGGAACTTCATCATTAATCATAGTTTTTGTTAAAATCCTCAGCTTGAGGGTGCTGACCATTAAGATAGATCTCGTTCTTTTCTACTTTTGATTCCCTGGAAGGGTTTTCAAAAGTGAGCATTGCACCTTCACAATGCTAATGCAGCTTCACGCAAAGAACAATGAATGCAAGTTTCACACGGGATAAACAACGCCTTGTCTATATTCACGATTCAAATTGGAAACCGAATAGAATGTGGAGAGAATCTCTAATCTCTAATAGAATCTCTAAATAATCTAAACTTTTGTTCATGTGATGAAACTGCTGGAGATGAGATACTCGGATAAATGACGAAACAAGTACATGCATAATGTTTTTGTCAAGGCAGCGCCGCTTGCTCTTCTCAGACCGTGAAGTAATTGCTAAAATATTTGTATTATGATATAGAAATTGTGTAGGTAGGCTGTTCATACTTGTGGTCCATTTCAGAGGGAAAACCTATGTTTGTTTATTCCTTTTTAAGACAGAGGATGTGAGAATGTGAGATGAATGCATGTGTAGAGTCTGACAAAGTCTGACTGATCACATGCCAGTGATGTTTTTGGCTTCAAAGACTTTTCCGATTCCACGTCAGGATTATTGAGAGGCATTTATAGGTGAGGCATGAACACATTGTTAGTGACCCACAACATAACGACAAGTGCTGACCAAACCAACGGTTACATCCCCTGAGAAAACAGAGCCTGCCACTTCATGTGTCCATGTTCCACAGTGATGAATGAGAGCTGAAGTGGACCATTGACTGCAGGGGTCATTGACGCCCAAGGGCACAATGGATGACGAGGTTGAATAAAAACTAGCTTCCACCGAGAGTAATCTCTCGTCCTATATAGTCCACATTAAATAAGATGTGTTTTTGGGTGTGTGGGTGAATCGCGCCCCCTTGTGTGTTAGGCTACTTATACGACAAACAAATCGACAGAATAGACTGAGCACATTTCTTATTAACTTATCTTTTGTTGTTTTAAATAATTTCCAATTAGAAAACCCTCCCAGTTAATTTATAAAAGTAGGCTAACTCAAAATGTGTATATGCCTATAGGGCTTAGCCTAGGCTACTACTTAAAAGGCCTATAGGCCTCAGAATTAATTAATATTTTGGTGGCTATTTATAGGATTAAGTTCAAAATAAATTAATAAAGCAAACATTTATTAAAAATTATAATACGTTGATTTAAGTCAAATAAAACATGGTCGAACTGTTTCAACAATTAGCCAAAAATCAACCAAAAACTATTACAAAAAAACAGTTCACTCCGTGTTGCCAACAAAGTGAACTGAGATGTTTTATAGAAAATATATTAGGTATAAGAACGCAAAGACATGAGCATATCTGTTTCATGCAGATTAATCCCCAACATATTTATATGACGTTGGCCAAGGAAAATATAATAGGCCTATTTGTTTGACAATTAACTTTAATTAGGCTGATATTAGCTTTATTAACGGGTGTGAATGTTCGTTTAAGTCTCTATCAACGTTTCAATGGGCACAAGAAGGCCTAATAATAAGAGTTGGATAATTTTGCATTAATTATTATAAATAGCCTACTGTTTAGACAAGAAAGTGTATTAAAAAAACAATAATCTGAGTAGCCTACATCCTCATGTCATAGTGTCAAATGCAAGAGGCATAAAGACAAACTTGTAGTGTCGGGTTTGCACTGAATCTGCTTGCAGTCTGGTGCACTGCACACGAAGGTTTGTGGGTTCTCATTTAAAAGCCTCAAGCGTGGCTTAATTATTTCAAGGCTTCTTCCGTTTCTTGGGCATGTGGTAGTGCCTGAAAGAACGATGCCACAACTGATTTACGTTTGTTCCAACCTTACGGTATGCTGGCAGACTTAATTTAGTAAATAAAAAGTCAGACTTAATTTAGTAAATAAAAAACTGTCAGGCATGTCCTACCTCAGAAAATATGAAAATTATAATACTTCTATTATATTTCTGTTCAAAGTCCTGTTAACCATTTCGGACTAAATCAAAGGCCCTAGGCGTATAGTTTATATATAAGGCTAGGCCTATTTTACGTTCACAAAGTGATCTTCTGGCATTTTGATTTCATAATCAATGGTAAAGTTGTGGGATGGAGATGATATGACAAAACAGTGTCAAATGAAAAAGTAATCTGATTGACATCAGAAGAGGAAACAATAAACAAAGCATGGGCTGCCATATGTTTAACAGCTGTTCTTTAATCTGTACAGTTATGCGTAAATCAGACAGCAGGGGGCGATAACGAGTGAATTCATAATTACCAATGGAAATGAAATCTCATGGGGTCCCAGTTTCAGAGAGCGTTTCCCGATATTACGAACGTTTGTTTCTTTTACATGGGTGTTTGCTAAAAAAATATTTAAGAACGCGCAATACGCGCACTTTGAAGCCTATTGCATTGTGTGTTCAGGACTTGTAAAGATTTCAATCGCTCGTTATTATGGACTGTTTTTATTAGGCTATCTTAAAAATTCCTACTTATGACATTTAAATTGTGCGAGTCGTTTGTTCAGAACGATGACCCATCAGCGGATCTGTTCATCTGATGTCCTTTTGCAATATTTTATTTTCACAAATTCAATGCAAGATTCAAGGGTCAGCCCATGGAGATGAGGGCAGCGTTTACGGTTTTGTGGCCCTGTGTGTGAGTGATCCTGCTAATGACAAGGTTAGCCTTTAATGATTATCTAACGAACGAGGTCCATCGTGTTGCCAGTATAGCCTACTGCCGCGTGAAATGAAGCGGCTATTTGCTCCCTAAAGCGTTAACGATGACTGTAATGCTTCTTGGGTTCGAGGAAGGCGCAGGAAGAGAGATTGGGTTGTAGAAGTGGATAGAAATAAAAGGGAGAAAAATTCGGCTCCTGTTCTCATGAACGACGTGATATTCTCTTCATTGATATCTTTTCGCCCCTAGTTTTAATAAGCCTACAAGTGCAAGTAGCTAATTTTATTGGACCTCCTTCTGAATTGCCTTCACTTGCCTGAAACAATGATGTCACCTCTATTTTTTACAAATCTTCCCACTTTTTTTTTTTATTTAAATAAAGGAATAGCCTACAATAATAAAATATTTTGACATTAAAGGAAAAAACCAAAAGTGTGAGTACTGTAGGCTAATAAACGTAGGTGTAGTTTTGCGGTTGTCCTGCAGGTGATTCTGTCTGCTAGCGATGCGTTTAGCACTCTACGAATATTTTAATTTATAGTTTTCAATATTTTAGAGACCATGTATGGACCCTCAAATATGATCATCCTGGTGCGACTCACAAGCCCTCGTACTAAAATGTAAAATGCAGCTATATATTTTAATGTGTAAAAAACTCATTTTAAAAATAGACTTGTAACATATTGGACTACGGATGAAAAATTGTTTAATTCTGGTACATTTACAGGAATGTTTTATTAATGTACAATATCTCTGTCAAAATAAAATAAAAAAATATACTGTTAAAAAATAATATTGTAGGCCTGTGAAACAGTGAAAAATATTTAGTTTATGTTTCATTTGTAACGTTCTTGTAAAGTAGGCTACTGTAGCCTACTGTTTTTTTTTTATCAATGTTTTATTTATTTTACCCAATTTATTTATGCATATATTTATTTTAATATTGCATTATAATTATTTTTCACTGTGTTTTTCAACGTTGGCTATCTTTACAACTTTTCACCTATAGCACTCCAATTTGGCCCCATGGGGTCTCTAGACCCAAGATTTAAAATCCCTGCTTTAGAGCACTCTTAGATCTGTGAATATAAAGGTCTTCTCAAGTTACAATCCTTTTTGGGAAAGAGCCCATAATTCTAATAGGCTTTTTGTCTCTCCATTTAGACCTACAATGCTTTTGGGAAACATAACCCTGCACAATGACACAGGCTCTTGCATGGATTATAACTCATTCTAAATGCCTGAATCTAATTTACCCAACACCTAAAAATGTGTCTTAATAATCAGGTATAGCCTCAAATGGTTGCACAAAATATGACAAGCATTTAAATGACAATCAACTTTCATAATTAAATGGAAGTGTATACCTACTGGTTCATTATAAATCAATAGATTTTGTTTAAAACAACTACCGGATTGATCGATTATTTTTAAGTATCAAGACAGGTCTTTCAAAAAAATATATAGACTTAGCTGTTGATCAAAAACAGCAAATATCTGAATTAACAATCACATCAAATAACAAACTAAATTATGCATTTTAATGCATTTTATTTATATTGAAATAAGATGTTGCAGATGTGATCATATGGCCACTTTTCACAAGTGCACTTTTTAAAAAGTAAAACATCCACAGTGTTTCAGTAAAGAAAGTGTTGCACATGATCACACTGGCTGATAGCTTTCAATCCTTTCCAGCAAGGTCTCAGAGTAACCAGGGGAATAATACCTGCGAAAGAAAGGACGATCAGTGGAACACCAAAAACCATACAGCATATTCAATCTAAGGCTTTACAAAAGCATGTTAGTTTAAAAATATTTTATCACAATGCTGTTTATTATTTGCATAAATATTCATGAACCTGACTATCTCCTCAGGGTAGCAGCTGTTGATTGCATTGATATATTCCTGAATTGCAGAACCAGGTTCTGCTTTGATTTCCTGCACTTTCTTCAGACCGCCACTGGTAACAAACAAGCGCCGTGCCTTACTGTCATGAGGAAGAACCTTTAAGGAAATAGAATAGGGAGGAAATAGAAAAGCTCTTTAAACAGTTCTCATTGTCATTAACAAATGTGTTAATGAAAACGGTAAGTTCCCGCTACCTTACTGAACTGGCAGATGACATGTTTAAGAATGTTGCTGGGAGCTTCATAGAGAAGAGGCTCCAGTGCTGGTAGATAAGTACACTTTTGAAGGATGCTCTTCAATGCCTTCTTGGCCTTTTTTGAGTATGTGAACAAAGCAAAGAAGTTACTAAAAAATGAATGATATTGGTAAAAAAACAAAGTTAATTTCCTAATAGACCATTGCTCACCTTAGCCTGCAGGTCTTCAGAACTTTCAGTGTCCAAATAGAGATTTAGGAGTTTAGGGAACACGTTGGCCACAGCAATAGCTCGTGCATGTTCGGGGGTGTGTCGGCCAATCTGGCCAAAAGCCCAAGCTGTGGCTGCTTTAAGGTGGTCCTCTTGCTCCTCTTCCAGACAGATTGCCAACTGTGGGACGCCCTACAGGAGCGGAGAATCAAATGAGATCATAATCAATATTATGAGAGAAATACACTACTGTTCAAAAGTTTAGGGTCAGTGAGACTTTTTATATATATATATATATATATATATATTTGAAATAAGTCTCTGTTCACCAAAAATACAGTGATTCAGTAAATATTAGTGCAATTTAAAATAACGGATTTCTATTTGAATATATTTTAAAATGTAATTTATTCATGTGATGGCAAAGCTGTATTTTCAGCATCATCACTCCAGTCTTCAGTGTCACATGATCATTCAGAAATCATTCTAATATGCTGAAACATTTCTTCTTATTATGACAGCAACATGTTTGTGAATTATTATTTGATGAATAGAAGGTTCAAAAGAACAGCATTTACTTGAAATATATATATTTGTAACAATGTAAAAGTCTTAATAGTCCCCATTGATCAAAAGTATTCATTTCTTTTTTTCTTTTTTTAAATCGTACTGACCCCGAACATTTGAACAGTATATGTTGTCAATTTTTAAGTTTTACATGTTATCTTAAGAAAGGATCTCATAACAGACTTTAGATACAATCACAGCCATGGCTAAGTTCTCGGAGTGTGCAGACACATAGCCCAGCATCATGATCCCAGGCAGGCGAACATTCCCTTTGGAGTCCCCGAGGTAGTCAATGACAGCTGCTACGCCCCCCATATTCACTATTATCTGAGACAGCTGAGTAGGAAACAAACAATGCACACAAGCAAACACACAAGTCAGTGTGACATAATGATAAATAATTAGCCAGGCAGACCAGAAAAGCAAAAACGTTTTGGGCAGGTGAAAAAAAAAGTGGTGATGCAATGACTACGTATGTGGTTACCAATTGTCTGTTTCCTGTGTTGCGCTGGTGATAAATAACAGACCCACATTCTCCATGGTTTACAGACTAGCTGCCTCACACCATATTATTTAAACAGGGGTGTCAAAGAGTTGACAAAGTAGAGATTCCAAAGTTACCTAAGCATCTTGAAATCATTTAGTGGGTATGTCATGTATATATGCGATATGTACTTCTGGGGTGTATTTTGTGATTTCTCGAATAAGAGTGGCGACATTCTTCCGAACATATTCATCAGGGTCCTTTAGGCAAACCAGCGCAGCGGGGAATATCTCGGCCTCCACCACCATCTCGGCTACGTCCACGGAATGCTTGGCGATTTGACCGAGAGCCGAAAAAACCTGCCTCTGTAAAGAGTAAAAATAGCCTACTGTCAAATTAAGTCATTAGGGCTTTTCACACTGCGCTTAACCTAAATTTAGGTATTGGGTGGGATTAAGTGATGTAGAATATGATCATGCAGAATAAGGCATTAGTATGTGCTTTTATAAGTACTAAAAAACAGCCAATGTCCAAGTAATATGCATGCTAATAAGGACCCAAACTAAAGTGCTACCACTTCTTCACATTAAGATGTTTTTTAAAAAAAGGTATAAGGCTACTTTGAGGAACCCCAAATAGTTTTTCTATGGCATTGCTGCAAACCTCCCCTTTCAGAACATTTATTTTTAAGAGTGACTGTGTCACCTTTAATTTGGCATCTGGGTTTAGGATCATCTGTGCTAGATGGGCGATTGCCCCTGTGTCCACCACGGTTTGAGCCAGCTCTGGGGAGTGCTTGGCTATATCGCTCAAAGCGGAAGCAGCAACCCTCTTCAGGGCAATTTCAGGCTCCTGGATGCATAACACAAGCAGAGGCACCACTCCGGCATCAACCACTGCCTGAGACAGCTCTGCAGATAAACAGTGAAGATAAACAACAAAAGGAACATTGATAAATTGTAAGAAATAAATATAAAAGCAAACCCTTTTTGAAGCAAACTCACGTGCATTGTGCCTGGCAATGTAGCTTATTGCCCATGCCGCAGCCTCTTTGACCCCAGGGTCAAACTCCTCCAAGGAGACAACAAGAGCGTCCAGTGCTCCACAGTCCACCACGGCCTGGGCCAGCTCTGGGGAGTGCTTAGCAACAGCCCGAAGAACGAATGCAGCTGCTTTCTTATAGAATCGCTGTGTAATTCATATCCCAGTAATCCACAGGGAAAAGACAAAGCAATTGAACAATAAATACACTCGAATGTTCAGCAAAACTGCCTTTAAAGGTATAGTTCACCCAAAAATGAAAATTCTGTCATCATTTACTCTCCATCAAGTGGTTGGAAACCGGTTAGAGTTTTTATTTTTATGAAAACAAAGAAAGATGTTTTTGAAGAATATCGGAAACCAAACAGTTGATGGACACCATTAACTTCCATATTATGGAAAAAAAGAAAAGGAAAAAAACTATGGAAGTCAATGGTGCCCCAGAACGAATGCAGAATGGTTACAAACATTCTTCAAAATATATTGAATGTTCTGATCCAATCTGACTTCTGACCTGAAATGCTGCCTGAATTATGATCAGACACTGTTCATTCATTGGCCCCCCGACTGAGCCTGCATGGTTTCTCCCAAGGTTTTTTCTCCATTCTGTCACCTGATGGAGTTTTGTTTTCTTGCCACTGTTGCTTTTGGCTTGCTTAGTTGGGGACACTTAATATATTTAAAAATATCATTGATCACTGAACTTACTTCAGCTGGACTCTGAAAATGAAAATGACACTATTTTCTTCTAGATCTACTGTACAGCCAAAACAAACTTTGTTGCATTATTTTCCTGTTATCACTGTAAAGCTGCTTTGAAACAATCTCTACTGTAAAAAGCACAATATAAACGAAGGACTTCACTCAGCAGAGGAAAGAAAAGTATACAGGTTTGGAACAACCTGAGAGTGAGTAAATGATGACAGAATTTTCATTTCTTGGGTGAACTATCCCTTTAACAAATAGTAAGTCTGTATAATGAAGCCTCTCAGTGTAACAGTAATCTAACACTAAGTTTTGGAGCAAAAGATTTGGGTCACCACTTTTTAGATTTTCACTCTGCTGGGTTATTGTGGACAATGATCTGAGAGTTTGCCAGGAGTCTGGAGTTTATGCACTTTACATTTTTATAACGAGACAGTTGTACATTTTTAGTATCTGTATTCATGCTACTGTTTAAAGTCATATAATTTAAAGAAAGAATGTAGACAAACAAACTGCTTTGCTTTGACTTTATGATTATCATATCACATTTAAAAGCAAGTATTGAATGAGAAAAGCACAAAAATAAATTAATTAAACTGGAAATTGCAAAAACATGGTTTGCCCGGCTGACATTGCCAAGTTTTCTGCATTGTGCAAAAGCAAATTTAGGCATGAAAGTCTGATGCCTTAAGGCAACCCTATTTATTTCAATGAAAGCTGAGCAGCTCAACTAAAGAAACTCACGTTTTGCTCAGCCAGGGAGTACACAAGCTGAGGAAGAATGTCTCCCTTTACTACAGCCTCAGCCAGGTCATCGTTATAGTTGGCAAGCCTTCCGAGAGCCAGGGCTGCTGTCTGCTGAATAGTTGGGACTGCATCCAAAAGGAGAGGCCTCAAAAGGGACATTACACCTAAGCCAGAGAGAGTGAGCACATTTGTGCAGGGGAGAAAACAGGAGTGGAAATACACTTGAGAGCAGATAAGGGGAGGATATACTTTCAAAGGTTCAAATCATATAATAAAATATACCTATAAAATGATGAGCTACTGTATGCGTTCCTTATTAATTAAAAACGTGTTTTGTAAGATATTTCACGCAAAAACATTCATTGTACTGTGCAGTGTTTTGGTGAAACATATTGATTTAGATCCTTTTCCCCCATCAGTCCTGAGTGTGTTGAAAGGGTTTAAAACACTCAACATTATAGGTTAGGTTGTTGAGTTAGGTGAATTTGTTAGCTACAAAACATTAAAAAAAAAAAAATACAGCCCATGTTATAATTCACTGCAATGTCTTTAAGCTCACTTGTAATTAGTATTACCCAGGAAAATTGTATTTGATCAGTTGAAGAATTATTTCCATTACAAGCAGATACCTTGCCATTCTTCATGCAGAAAACATCTTTATAAATATTTCAGACACTCACCAGCATTTTGAAGTGTTTCAGTATTTTGTGGTCTTGATGCAAGATCTGCTACAGTTTGCACAAATTGTGTTCTTGCCTTCTGGTACTGCTCAAACACTGCAATAATAATAATAATACAAATAATAATTAATATTATAATAATCTCGTTTTACAAATTTGGGTTTGCTGATAGGACAAATTACTGACAGTAGTTCAAGTTAAACATAGACCGGCATGTAAGATAAGTCAATGCCAAAAAGGGTGTAACGTTAAACAAACTGCAAAAGTGAGAAAAGTAAGTAACCCCAGCGTTTAAATGATCTGAGCGAGTTTATCGGCTACATTAACATTTTTAATCCTTCAACGGATCTGACTTTCTCACCTTGTAAAACCTGCCGCTGACTCATTTTTTATCCAAAATCGGAACTAAAACAACAAAAACCTGAGTGGTTGCGACAAACGTTTAAACTTCCATAAGGAAATAGCGTTTGTTGTGACTTTGGGTTTAGAGGAGGCGTGCAACTGTTGTCTTGGCAACAAACCGGAAGTGATAAGCATCTCGTTCGCTTCGCTCGGCGAGAGTGATGGCAATGTTCTTCTAATGTTTCGTGCTGAAACACGCATATCTGCTCAAATCAGCATAAGTGCCAGCTGATGTCCAGATGTAACATCAGGTTAATTAATCCCTAATTAGTTTTGGGTATTAAACAGGATTCAAGAACGGTGTTAAATCGGGACAGAGCAGCTGCGAGAGTCAACAGCTGGCCTCACATTCGTGTCTGTAGCACAGTCTATGGTCTGAGTAGCCTACGGTTAATAGTATCGCATAGAAAACTGCAGTCACAGCAGCATTGATATTTAGTAATTACTACTAGTCTTCACATTCGCATTTTCGTTAAAGAACTTTTGGAAAGGTAAATACACTAGGCTATTGCATGCTGGTTCGTGGTTCGTGATTACATGTGAAAAGAAAAAGAGTCTTTCGTCGAGCAGCTGAATACAAACTTCCCGTCCCTGTTTGTTCACTTAAAAGTTATTGTTACGATTTAATTCCTTTCACTTTAAGAAGGTGGTCATTTGAACTGGTTCCAAATAGTTCATAATTTCCCGAATGTCTTTAATAATTGCTTGTTGTCGACTGTAGTTTTAGGCTAGCCTATCTGTTGCATTTCACGCACTCTCTGCCCTGTAACATGGCTACATTAAACATAAAAAGTCCAACCATTTTAGTTAAGAACTGTACACATTGCGTAGCCTATGGAACATATTTTGTAGGCTATATAGTTAGCCTTCTTGGGCCTAAAAAAAAAAAAATCTAAGCTTGTCATTTTGGTTTAATCTGGACCATTAGTGGAGAAAGGCTCTCTGCCTTTATGAAAAACCCTGACAAATCGGGCCTGTATACGCCAGCTCAAGGCTGAAGAGTTTATCCACTTTAATGTAACTAATTTCTGACACAGATATGCTCTCATTAAGCAATGCTTAAATACTGTTGAATTTAAAATAACTTGTAAGCCTATATTTCGGGTTCACCAAGACATCAGCCAAGACAAAGCGAGCACAGATGATTAGACTATTGGAGAAAGTTTTTTAAACAATGACATTTATTTTCGAATGTCCACTTGGCTTTGCTCATTTCCACCTTTAAATTCACTCCTAACAAATAATTTCAGTCAACATCATTTGTAGGGATTTTTTAAAGGTGTCTTGATTTTTCAACTTCATCAATAAGCCTTGTAACGTCAAAAGTAGGCTAAAAGTTTCAGGCTTTACATTTGATTTTAAGGTGTCCGTGTTGTGTAATTATAAACTTAAGTGCTGAGTAATAATAATTAAGATTGTAGCCTACTAGGGTTAAACTGTAATTAAGCACAATTTATAGTAATTACTATGTTCCGTGTGTAACAAAGACTGCTAAATAAATTGTTACCAAGTATTGTAACTATGGCCTAAATAAATAAATAAATAAATAAAAGTCATAATCCTGTTCCAAACGTTAATCTTGACAGAATTAAGTCTCTTGAAAGTCCCAACATACGGATAACCACAACCTTGTGTCGACTGAGAATTGCCTTAAACTATACAAGATCCAAAAAGATTTGAAGACCAGATTATAACTGACCTGTCAACTAAAATACAAATCTGTAGGCCTAATAGACAATAATAAAACAATAAATAGCTTTCATGCAGTGTAAGTGCAAATGTAAATCAGTACAAAATGTCGAGTGTTTCCCTCTAATCACGGAGAGGTTCACCTACACTTTCCGTTTCTAACGACCAGGTATGACTATATGTAGCCAAATTTACACAGGCTGGTTATAGGTTGTTTAAGCCACAACTGGACAAGTTTGTAGCACCTGCCTCTCAATACCTTTGTCCCAACAGACTTTGAAACCGGTCAAATGGATTTAGTCATAAGTTTACCAGATAGCACAGGTTTCGCACGAGCATTTAATAGATGTTCATGCGCGTTTGAACACCGGGTTGGAACAGCATTTATATCTGCATTAAAATAAATAAACGACTGTTATGTAGGGCTAGCCTACTACATCACCATTTTGATAGTTATTTTTTTCTTGAAGATTTTTGACAACTTACAAAGTTTTGCAGCATAGCTATAGCCTGCTTTTCTAATTTTACAAAATTAGAAATCCGAATACATTTATTCGAATGTTAAAGTGAAGCATGAATAGCCTACTTTTGGTATTTGTAGATTTCTCTATCTGATTCGAAGCAGCATTAAAACACAAGACGATGTGAAAGTGTAAAATGTTTATTTAGATGTTTTATACTGTGCAACAGTCACAATACAATAGCTGTCAATAGTCTACAATCGACCAATAAGACAATGAACACTGAAGACATCAAAATCTTGTCCAGAAGGAGAAGTTGGGGCAGTGGCTGTTATAGGCAATCCGTGTAGCCTATAATTGCTTGAAAGCAGTCTGAAAGATATGTGTGCATGCCTACAGAACTTGAGCATGACCTCGAAATCAACCTGACGGCCCGAACCGGCACAGTGGAGCATATCGTAGCCTACAATAACTGCAAAAACTGAACTTGAATTCCCAAGAACTTCTAATAAAAATTATTAAGCAGAGTAGAACTTCAAAGTTTCATTTCCTTATCCCTTTGAACACGCAGTTCTAATGTAGTCTTTTGTCATTTAAATTTGAACTATATAGGCTATATGCCTTTTTTTGATATATTAAAGGCAAGAATATATCAGGAATGTTCAATAGCCTAACTACCCCAGGAAAAGCAAACTAAAATAAAAAGTAAATGTTTTTTTTTAAACCATGCTTTTAAAGAACATTATAATACACATGTAAAATACAAGCAACAGATAGCGCTTTTTAGGGAAAATGTATACCAAGAGTAAAAATATATAAAAATGTATAATTCAGTCATTTTTGCATTTTGAAAATGCCGCAACCGTCGCTCTACGCTCCACTTTGCAATCAAATGGGCCTCTAACTTTCTCACACAAACTTAGAAAATCCAGCAACGTGTCGAAAGAAGCGCGTCATTTCCACTACGTTAAAGTTACATGTATAATATACTTATAATAATGACAAAAAGAATGGCTCTACATGACACTACGTTGGCATGGAAATAGCTGGATTATGTCTGGCGTTGGCTTTATCGTGTAGTCCCTTCTCATCCTGACGATGTGGAAGATCCGTTCAGCGCTGTCTTTCGCACTTTGTTGCCAAAGCTGAACTGTCGATTTGGGCTTGTCATCGTCGTGCCGTTAATAGGGTTGGAAACATGGCTGAAATGTGGCTGTGAAGACTGAACCACCAGTGTGCTTGGACTCGGTAGTGGTGAGGAGGTGGATGGGACTCCAGCGGGACTGCTGGCCTTGTCGCTGGCTGAGTCGCTTTCAGAACGGTTAGTGCTGTTCACGCCATCTTGCGGGTGGGTAATCTTAATTTTTTTACAGCTGGGCCGCACGCGATATTTCAAAGGCAGTGGTCCATTCTATGTAATGTGCGAAAATAACAGAAGACACTATCATTTACCCAAAATTTGGAATCCACAAAGCAACCAATTATCATTCTTAAGATATTACGTTTTAACGAGGAGTTTATAAAGTCACAGTTACTCTTAAAAATAAAGAATATTTGAGAACTTACTCTTCTCCATGTGTAGATGTAGGCAATGTCCATTAATGTGTAATAATCCTTCAAAGGCTCATCCTCATACATAACTTCAATCTATTAGAACAATAATATTAAAAATCACACTGCAATAGATGCAAAATCAGAAAATGGTAACAAATACCATCTTAATACCCTCTTTATTCTAAATGCAATTAAACACTGGACTACAGTACTTTAATATCTGTAACAAACTAATAAGAAATAAAAAAGGCCACAAACTCTTTTGCAAATTAAACTACATCCACAATAACATTGATCACATTACCTGGAAAGTAGGAGGTATATCCATTTTGCTTCTCAGAAATTTCCTCAAATGCATCACAGTCATGGCAGCAGGGCATTGTAAGTATCTTTTATTATTAACCTGTTTTTAACACAAATACTTTATTCAGATAAGCTTTATTGGTGCAGTCACCATTTTCACATAAAAAAACGTAGAAACTTGAAAAACTTTTTAATAAGAATCAATATTCCAGATCTTACTTACCTCTTCATTTTGCCTCTCATCTGTGCTGCTTTGCTGTTGGGCCCTAAACAATAAATAATAATTAAAAAAAAGAGTGCTAAATTATAACTTGTCAATTTTTGTATCAAATATCTTCAATATTTAGTTAACATACAAGGCTATTTCAAAAAAAGGCTATGTTACACAATTTTACAACTTTTATAACAGATTACACTGACAATACAAAACACATACCTTTGATCAAAAAACTCAATTGACAGACTGATTATCTCATCATCTGTGATGATTCGCTTGTCTTCATCAGCAACTTCCCCCCGATCTTCATTAGATCCATTTGCAGCTTTGAAATAAAAATGAAAGAACAATGGCTTTAATTTAAACAAATGTTAACAATTAGACAATGCAACTGTACAACTCTCTTCAAACAGTTACCTGAACAGTTCAACAAACTTGTTTCCAATACTTACCATCAACAGACGGGTGTTCAGCATAAAAATCTCTTCTACGCTTCATTTCATCTGCAAAGAAAACAACATTTCAGTTATACTTTATTTAAAGGTGTCCTTGTTACAGTGTAATTATACATTTATGTACTGAAAAAAATATTACTGAAAAAAAAATTAAATAATTAATGACGTATATTATAGGTTTAGGGTTAGTTGTGTGTAATTGTGCATAATATATTACAGTAAGTATGTTACACATGCAACAAGTACACTGACATTTCCAGATCAAGCATGTGTGACAAATTACAAACAATATTTACAATCTTATACAATAACTGACTTACTTTTGAAAAGACCAGGAACCAACTTGTACACAATGTCCTGTAGAGTTTTGTCAGACCTGAGGGAGGAAGTGTAAATATTGATCAAGTAAAGGTCAGGTATTTTTTTATTGCAA